GACGGGGTTTTACCATGTTGGCCAGGCTGGTCTCGAACTCCTGACCTCAGGTGATCCACCTGCCTCAACCTTCCAAAATGTTGGGATTACAGGCGTCAGCTACTGTGCCCGGCCAGAATTTACCATCTTAACCATTGTTAAGTGTACAGTTCAGCGGTATTAAATGTATTCACTTCGTTGTACAACCACCATTCATCTCCATAACACTTCCTCTTTTTTTTTTTTTTGAGATGGAGTCTTACTCTGTCACCCAAGCTGGAGTGCAGTAGCATGATCTTGGCTCACTGCAATCTCTGCCTCCCGTATTCAAGCGAATTCTCCTGCCTCAGCTCCCAAGTAGCTGGGATTATAGATGCGCACCACCATGCCCGGCTAGTTTTTGTATTTTTAGTAGAGACGGGGTTTCCCCATGTTGGCCAGTCTGGTCCTAACCTTAGATGATCCACCCACCTTGGCCTCCCAAAGTGCTGAGATTTTATAGGTGTGAGCCACTATGCCCGCCGTCACTTTTCCTCTTCTAAAGGAAACTACCAATTGAGTAGTAACTCCTCATTCCCTGCTTTTAGCCACTGGCAAGCACCATTCTACTTTCTTTCTCTATGATTTTAACTACTGTATTTTATATAAATGGAATAATATAGTATTTTTTTGTGACTTATTTCACTTAGCATGATGCCTCCATGGTTCATCTGTGTTGTAGCATGTGTCAGAATTTCCTTTTTAAGGCTGAATAATATTCCAGTGTATGGATAGACCATAGTTGGCTTATCCATTCATCCTTTAATGGATACCTGGATTGCTTCCATGTTTTAGTTACTGTGAATAATGCTACTATGAAAATGGATGTACAAATATTTCATCAAGACCATGCATTTAGTTCTTTTGGGTGTGTATCCAGAAGTGGAATTGCTGGATCATTTATGGTAATTCTGTTTTTAATGTTTGAGAAACTGCCATACCATTTTTCATAGTGGCTGGACCATTTTACATTCCCATCAGTAGTGCACAAGAAGTTCCAGTTTCTCCATATCCTTGATGCTTATTTTCTGTTTTGACAGTAGCAGTCTTAATGGTTGTGAGGTAGTATCTCACTGAAATTATGATTAGTGATGTTGAACATCTTTGCATGTGCTTATTGGCCACCTATATATCTTCTTTGGAAAAATGTTAAAGTCCTTCGATTTTTTTTTTTTTTTTTCTTTTGAGAGGAGTTTTGCTCATTGCCCAGGTTGCAGTGCAATGGCGTGATCTTGGCTACCACAACCTTCATCTCCCAGATTCAAGCAATTCTCCTGCCTCAGCCTCCTGATTAGCTGGGATTACAGGCGTGTGCTACCATGCCCAGCTAGTTTTGTATTTTTAGTAGAGATGGGGTTTCTCCATGTTGGTCAGGCTGGTTTCCAACTCCTGACCTCGGGTGATCCGCCCATCTTGGCCTCCCAAAGTGCTGGGATTACAGGTGTGAGCCACTGCACCCAGCCCTTTGATCATTTTTGGATCAGGGTTTGTTGTTGTTGTTGTTGTTTTTAGGGGTTCTTGATATATTGTGGATATTAATCCCTTATGAGCTATATAATTTGCAGATATTTTCTCTCATTCTGTGAGTTGCCTAAACTCTTGATTAGTGTCTTCTGATGCAAAAAATTTTTTTGTTGTTTTTTTAAGAGAGACAGTGTCTTGCTCTGTGTTACCCAAGCTGGACTCAAAGTCTTGGGCTCAAGCAATTCTCCTGTCAGCCTCCCAAGTAGCTGGGGTTACAGGCACATGCCACCATGCCTGGCTATGCACAAAATTTTTAAAATTTTCATGAAATCCTATTTTCATGAAGTCTTTTTGTTGCCTATGTCTTTGGTTTTAGATCTAAGGAATTACTGCCAACTCCAACGTCAGGAAGCTTTTCCACTGTTTTCTTCTAAGAGTTTTATAGTTTTAGATACTACATTTAGGTCTTGATTCCATTTTGAGTTAGTTTTTGTGGTGTCAGGTAGGGTCCAACTTCATTCTTTTGCATGTGGATAGTTTTCCCAGGACGGTTTGTTGAAATGACTGCTTTTCCCTCATTGAATGGTCTTTGCAACTTTGTCAGAAATCACTGTACTGTGGATGCGAGGGTTTATTTCTGGCTGTCTTTTCTGTTTCATTGGTCCACCATACGTTTGTCACTATGCCAGTACCACACTGAATTGGTCACTGTAGCTTTTTAGTGAGTCCTCCAGCTTTGCTGTTCTTAAGATTGTTTTGGTTGTTCCAGAATTCAATCCCTTGGGAACCAATATGAACTTTACGATGGTTTTTGATATCTCAACAATACTAAGTCTTCCAAACTATGAACATGGGATGTGTTTCCATATATCTTTGTCAGCTTCAGTGTCTTCTTAAATGCTTTATTATAGATTGCTCGTTGTAAGCAGCTCATCTGTGACCCCAGCTATGTAAAAGATCGGGTAGAAAAAGTGGGCCAGGTGATCAGAGTTATTTGCATCCTCAGCCACCCCATCAAGAACACCAATGATGCCAACTCCTGCCAGATCATTATTCCACAGAACCAAGTCAATCGAAAGTCAGGTGAGGTTTGAAGACCAGCAGATGTCGGTAGAATTTTGTAAGATATACTTTGCTTTGTGTTGTATCCTAGATTCCTAATTTTGTATGCTGTATTAGTGAACAGACACTGGTTTACATATGGGGAAAAAAATGTCGTCATTGTATCTCCTCCTGGTCCGGCAGCATTGTGTTGATGTGGACAGGTTTGACTCGAAGCCAGCCTTGGACTTGTGTCCATCTGTAGAATGAACAGACTGGGCTTGGTGAACCCTGGGTCTCCCAGCTCTAACAGTAGGTGCCTGTGGAGGTTTATGCTTAATAGTTAACTGACCCGAGTATATTCTTGAGCTAATGATATAGCTGCTTCTGTGTCCTTATTTGTAATCTTAGTACTTACATTTGATTCTAGCAGTGTCTACCTTTCATTTCTGTGATCAGGACATGGCTCTAAAATTGCAAGTCCTGATTTATTTGTCTTAGCCAGTTGTTTGTAACCCTTCGATGTTCCCATTTTCCTTTCAACTAGAAGCCCCAAATCTTTTTATCTAAAATGCAGCTTAAAAAGGGTAATCAGGCTTTATGGGACAGGTAAGAGCTATCCGTATTATGATTTTTCCCCCCCCATATAAGAAATGAAATCATGGGAGGCCAAGGCTTCAGAAGGCTTGCTTGAGGCCAGGGGTTCAAGACCAGCCTGGGTAACATAGTGAGATCTCATCTCTACAAAAAAAAAAAAGAAGAAAAAAAAAAAAAAGCTAGGCGTGCATGGTGCACACACCTGTAGTCCTAGCTACGTGGGAGAGTGCGGTGGGAGAGGATCACTTGAGCTCAGGAGTTTCAGGTTATTGTAAGCTGTCATTGCATCCCTGCCTCCCGACCTGGGTGACAGAGCCAGACTGTTTAAACACACAAACCAATCTCAAAAGATGATCTGTAGAACAAAGGGACTGGACTTAAATCTCCCGAAAGGTTCCCAAGCCGGTCCTGGGTCCTTGTGAGTATAGAAAGAATAAAGGAGGTCCCATAGTTTGGTTTTTGTTTTGTTTTGTTTTTGTTTTTTGCCTTTAAATGCTCTCCTATCCAAATGCTTTTCTATTCTGGAAATTACACAATTAATTGGATGAGTGATATACAGACCAAGTCTAATCGAGAATTCTATCAAGTTATGCCAACTCAGAAGTGGTTTATGTGGATCCTGCAATTTTACATTACTTTAATAAGTAAATGAGGACATCAGTACTAAGTACATCCTTTCTTAGCCATTCAGAACCTTTCCAAATGCAAGGTCCAGAATGGAAGAATCTCCTAGAACAGTTAATATGGTTTGGTAGCTTTTTTAGTTAGGTATAATAGAGCTGTTAAGAGATCTCATTCCAAAGTTCAGCAGTTTGCTACCACTTAAATTCTTATTCTCTAGTAGGTTAGAAGAAATTCTTGTCAAATATTTGTGTACTTTACATCCAGCTCTGTCACAGTTTAGCACTTAAGTGTAGAAGATCTTGCCTGTTGAGAGTAATTTTAACTTACACCTCATGACATGGACACAGTTGAGGCAGTGAGCTGTTATTATTTGTTTCTAGATATCTATGTCTGCATGATCTCCTTTGCGCACAATGTAGCGGCACAAGGGAAGTACATTGCCATAGTTAGTACAACCGTGGAAACCAAGGAGCCCGAGAAGGAAATCAGACCAGCTTTGGAGCTCTTGGAACCAATTGAACAGAAGTGAGTTGTGTTTTTTTATATCTGCCGAGATGCAAACTGAGGCCTTTTGATTGTGGCTCCACCATGGTGGGACGAATGTGAGGGCAAGGCAGGTAGCCGCTGGCTGCTCTGTGGGAGTCATCTGTACCTCTCAGTTGATCTCAGGCAGAGCTGCGGTCAGGTGTAGGACCAGCTCACCTGACTGAATTCTCTCTCCCTCCAGATTTGTTAGCATCAGTGACCTCCTGGTACCGAAAGACTTGGGAATGGAAAGCCAGGTGAGTATGGAGGTGCAAAAGGATATGGGCAGGTTTCACTGGAAGACATCCCTCCATAGTCTGAAGTCTTTGTAATTTTTGTTTTCAGATCTTTATTTCCCGCACATACGATGCCACCACTCATTTTGAGACAACGTGTGATGACATTAAAAACATCTACAAGAGGATGACAGGATCAGAATTTGACTTTGAGGAAATGAAGCGCAAGAAAAATGACATCTATGGCGAAGACTAACAGCAGTACATGTTATTATTTAATTAGGACACATTTAAAATTTGGCAAATAATGCATATGAAATCAATATTGTAAGGCCTGCTTTTGTAATCAAAATGGAGAGAGTGAAGAGCGCTGTGTGCCAGTAAATACTCCCCTTCATCTTTCTAATATTATGTATTAACTTGTTTTCATGGAGTGGCTATTCAGAATTGGCAGTTACATTCTGTTCAATTTAACCAAACGGGCTTTTTTTTTTTCCCCTAGTGAAGGATCAGTTTTAAACAAACATTGGGATACCAATACAGAATACTTGAGACAGTATTTGTATCTTTTAATCAGTGTAGCTGTGTGCTTCTGCTTCTCAGGAGCTGGATCCATGCAGGTTGTGTGCCATCTACCCTCTTGAGGTTCAGGAGATTCTAAATTGAATAATCCACAGTTTGGGACGGCATCCAGAAGTTTTCCCTATGACTTTATATTTTGTATTATGTCAAATGTTACGGCAGGGCCCAAATAGCATAGCCACAAGTTTGGTTTATGTGGGCATAAAACTCTAACCAAACTCCAGACATAGGGAGTCATTTGGAGAAAGCCTGTATGTGGTATTTTAACCCAGTAAAGTTGATGAGGGAAAAGGGGAGAGGAAGCAAACGTAAAGCGGGTGAAGTGTAGAGCATCTTTTATATCTCAGGCGTGGCTTCTTCAGTGGACCAAGCTGCAATGCAGTATTGAGTTGACAGAGCCTCTACTTCTGTCTCAAAATGGCTCCAAATGATTTCTGTACTGCAAAATAAAGCCAAATTGTGGAAACTACTGCCCAGTGTTGGTCTGTGTGTCCTGATTGCAAGGGTCACAGCTGCTGTGCTTCCTTTAGTAGCACTGGAGTCAATGCCAGTCAGAAGGTACTCAGCAGTGGAAAGCGTGGGTGTCTTCTGATCTGGATGGATCACAGCAGGTCCTGTCATCTGGCTTCCCTGTGAGTAGACCTCATTTTATTCTTGACTCAGCACAATTACTAGACTGATAATCTTTGTGCAGAAAAAATACAGTGTTCAGTCGTTTTGCTTATAGCAGCAATTGTAAGGGAGTAAGTGAATTGTCAGGTAGAATAGGTGCTCTAATAGTTTTCGTGTAATTGAAATGATGAAGTGTTTACATATAAGGCCTTTTCCCCTGACAGTGATGAGCCTCACTGCAGATGCTGTTGTTTACCACAGATAAAGACTGACTGCAGAGTATGAAGGAGACAGACTAAGGTAGATGATGTGTTAAAGGAACTAGGGTGGTGATGTAGATTGTTGTTTAGATTGCCAAAATGGTAGAGCTTCTCAACTTCCCACAGCTGATGTTTTGGGCTGGATCATTCTCTGCTGAAGGGGCCTGCCTTTGCATTGTAGAATTGATTGTAGCAGCATCCCTGGCCTCCACACACTAGATGCCAATAGCACCATCCTGGAATGACAACCGAAAATGTCTCCAGATGTTGTTGAAAACCACTGCTTCACATGTATGATAAAATTATCTAGTTCCAGCAAGACCTTTTCTCTTCCCATGCAGGCAAAGGCCCAAGTTGGGTTAGTAATAAGTGAAAAGGAAAAAACACATCTTCATATTCTTCATTCAGCGTATTTACTGAATACCTTGTGTGCCAGGCCAGTGGAGACAAAGATGGTAATAGTAGTTACTGGGATGACTCAGTTTGGCGAACACATGATATGGTTTGGTAATTAGTAGAGTTGCAGAAAACGTAGCCCGGAAACTGAGAAAGATGGCCTCGTGGGTGTTGGGAAGCTTTTCAGCAAGGGGAGGTGAGTGTTACTAGGTCCAACCTGAAAGGTGCATATTTCAGGCAGATAGGTGTTGGGCAGCTTATAACTGCTCACTTTCCTTTTCCTTAGTAATTTGGAAGTAATTCACTGTACTGAATAGTTAATGGTTCCCTTAATAGATTCCTGTCCTTGGAAAAATGAAAGGAAATGATTGCGGTTCTATTAGTAACTGAAAAACTGTCAACAATTAAAACTCTAAAACCTACTCAGGAGAAAATAAAGCTCTTTTGTTTAGGAATAATAAAAACCGACTTAATGACTTCTGAAAGAAGCTTCCCTGTAAAGGCCAGGTGAAACTGCCGTTCTTTAACCTGTTACTCAGTGTACTTGACTTTGCGGGGGAAAGAACCCAGAAACAGAACAGGCCAGGCCCAAAGGACAGAAGTGTAGGTTTCCTGTGGAAGCTTACTGTTCTGCTAAGTGGCCTAAAAATTGCTAGAGCACTCCAGATGAGTCAATTTCTGCTATAAAAATCATTGCAGAAAGAGATGATTTTTAGTTCTCTTTATTTAAAAAAAGGAAACAAATTAGTTACAAAAAAGCCTTTGCTCCAAATAGATACCATGTATCTTACAAATGTTTTTTGCGTGGTTTTGAGTTTTTACTGTAGAAATTTTCAATATCATAAATAAATGATTATTTCTTTCTCAGAAAGCTGATTTTTGTAGTGTAGTATTTACAAATACCATAAGTGAAAAATGATAGTTTATAAATTTGTACCATTTAGGAAAAAATGTTTTAAGTGTATGTAGTGTTGTTTGTATAACAGCAAATAAAACCATTTAAGATTATAGCTTTTACAAGGATGGTGAAACCTTTAAAACAGCATAATGTGCATCATGGGCCTTTCTGACATTAGCATGCAAAAACAAAGCTATTTGTTAAAATAGACTTATTTTTGCTCCAACTAAGTAGACATGTTGTAAAATTCTTATTTTTAATATTAAGCTCAATAGCTTAGAAGGCATCTTGTTTAAAATGAAAATAATTTAACAGAGTATCTAGCACTGCAACCCAAAGATAACGGACAACTACAATGCCACTGTGACATATTTCAGCAAAATACAGAAAATGAAAACTTTCCAGGTTGTAGAACATTGATTTTTCAAATATAAGACTGTTCACATGTGTATTCACATGTTCACAAGTTTTCCAAAGGGAAAATACTAATTTTTTATTGGCATCATCCATATCCAGGCAGGCTGTAGTTGAGTCACCTGAGGAAACACAAAATTGATAAGAACTTCTTAAAATAATATGAACAAGTATATTTCAAAAGTGAGATGCTCTAATGGGGAAAACTCCTATGCACTCTAAGGTTACATTATGTTCCGTACTGGCAATCCAAGTTAACAGCAAGTGAAAATGCACATCAGATAAAATGGGTAATTTTAGTAGATGGTTTCTTCATTTAGGAATTCCTATTTATGCCAAATAGCAATTCCACCCCTAAACACTTTAAATTTATAGCATGAAATATGTAAACAAGTTTCCCTTAGACACAAATGTCAATATTTGCCATCAACAGCTCCAACTCACATGGGAAAGTTACATTAAAAAGTGTTCTTACCAATAGCTAGTCCTAAATGGAGCTGCTACTTTTTCTATGTTTTCTATAAAGTTATTTACATCTGTAACAAGGATTCCACTATTTTCAAAGACTTCTCTGGGGATAGTAGGCTTGTCTGTAAAAACAACAACAACAAAACAAAACACAAAACTTTCGGTTAATTAATGTACTTTTCCATAGCAGGACCTGGTTTTTTTATTTAAAAAAATCTGTGGAACTTCCTCGTATGGCAGGTAGGGGGAGAAAAGGTGTTGGGTTCCAAGCTAAGAAAAGATTTGAAGCTTTGGGAATAGATGCCTCCATCAGGGGTGGTGGGGAAAATACTGAAGAAAATCTCTGAAAAATGATAACTATGGTTCTTTACGTAAATTTTTCTGAACACCTTTTTTTTTTTTTTTTTTTTTTAAGATAGGGTCTTGTTCTGGCCGCCCAGGCTAGAGTGCAGTGGTGTGATGATGGCTCACTGTAGCCTTGACCTCCCAGGCTCGAGCAATCCTTCTGCCTTAACCCCCTGAGTAGCTGGGGCTATAGGCACACATCACCACACCTCCCAATTTTTGTAGAGATGAGGTCTCGCTAAGTTGCCCAAGCTGGCCTCAAATTCCTGGGCTCAGTGATCCACCTGCCTCGGCCTCCCAAAGTGCTGGCATTACAGGTGTGAGCCATTGTGCCTGGCTGCCCCACAAATTTTTTAAGAGCAACCTCCACCTCTGGGGTTCAAGCCATTCTCCTGCCTCAGCCTCCCAAGCACCTGGGACTACTGGCATGAACCACCACACCCGGCTAATTTTTATATTTTTAGTAGAGAGAGGGTTTCACCATGTTGGCTAGGCTGGTCTCTTACTCCTGACCTCAAGTGATCTACCTGCCTCCCCAAGTGCTGGGATTACAGGTGTGAGCCACTGCGCCCAGCCCCAGTATTTATTTAAAAAATAATACAGGTATAACTATTTACACTGTATTGAGTATTGTAAGTAATCTAGAGCTGATTTACATATATAGGAGGATTGTGGAGTTAACCTGTAAATACTACACTGTACATAAGGGCTTCAGCATCAGCAGATTTGGGTGATTCTGGTATCCATGGGATGCCAAGCCATTTAAATACCTGATACTATTCGTCAGGTATCTAAATGGTCAGGTATCTAAATGGCTCAACTTGGACATTCCTAGAGCTGACCAATTTTGGCATTAACTGAGTAAAATGGGCCTGTGAATTACCTGTTAGGAAGACAGCAAACCTGGCTTCAATATGCTGAATTTGCAGGTTTAGCAAACATTTCAAAATTTCTGCTTTTGTTGATGAGCGAGAGTCACACTGGTGATAATGAAGCAATTCAATTATATTTGCACTCTGAAATGACTTCAACATTATGTTCTTTTTATGTGCAGTTGAATCCACTCTGAAAGATACATAGGCATATTAAAATATTCATTTTCAGTTTTATTCTTAGGACTTTTTCTTGCCTTCAGTTTAACCATTCAAACTTATGAGATCCTCTGCCTTTCTTCTTGATGTTCTTTTTCATGACACACTTTGGTTGCCTCAAAACATACAACTGTACCTACTCCTTTTGTAAATGTGTATTTTAAACATAGGCCTCATTCTATGACCAATCAAGCCATGTGGCTTGGCAAGCCTTTCATGAATTTCGAGTGGGCCTTATTGCGTTGTATATTTGTAGAGCAATGCACATGTATGCTTCTCATACCTTGCGGGCTAATCACCAACTTCATTAAAATTAGGTAGCAGCCAGAATTTTCTTGGTTTCTTGCCTCCCTGAAAATTCTGTCACTACTAGGAAAATGTGTTAATTCAGTATGTTTAAATTTTTAACATCTCTGTCTCTACTTTTGACTCCATCTCTCTCGTCTTCATCACTTACGTTCTCACGCTTGTTAGAGAAAACCCAAATCACACCCATTCCCATAACCCTAGTGATAATCACTCTTAACATCATGAACCAATTTCCTTTCACTTTCTCCTGTATACATTTTTTATGACATCATACTGAACATAGTTATATGACACCAACTTTTATGCCATCTTTCTTTCTACGAATAGAAACTTTTTACTTGCTGCTTTTGTGTAAGTTTTGGGTGGGCAATATTTTGTATAAAGTTTAAAATATTTAATTGTAGTCTGCATATCTCCCTCCTAGAGATGGAACTGAGGTTGATTTTGCAATAAGAATTTTGGGTAAATTCCACAAAAGGTCAAAGGATATGAAGTTTTCTGATGAGTTCTCAATAATACATCATGCCTGTTACATAATGTCAGAGTGGTATAATTTGAAGAGCACACTGCAGTGCCAACAGCAGTGAGTACGCTCACGTACCACAAAATGATGTTTCAGTCAATGACAGACCACATATACAATGGGGGTCCCATAAAATTATAACACTGTAATTTACTGAACCGTTTTTGTGTTTAGACACACAAATACCACCATTGAATTAAATCTGCCTACAGTATTCAGTACAGTCACATGTACAGGTCTGCAGTCTAGGAGTAGGCTCTACCATGTAAGTTTGTGTAGGTACACTCTATGTCTGCACATAGACAAAATCGTCTAATGACATTTCTCAGGCTGTATCCCCATCGTTAAGTGACATGACTCTCTCTACCCAAAGCCCTAGAAGTGCTAGATTAATTTATGCTTCTTATTATAGGTGTGCTGTGGTATGTCAGAACCTTAAATGTGATCTGCTTACCAAAGTTGATGTTTTTCCCCTAAAGTGCTGGTTACTGAAGTCCAGTGTGAACTGGTCATACCCTTGACCTGCTGAAGCCTTTGCACCCTCCTTTCCTGCCAAGGAAACCTGTGCTCCTTCTCTCCTTCGCTAGCTCCACTCCAAGAGAAAAGCTTTCTGAGATTCTGTTCCTTAAAGGTCACATGCAGCTAACAGTCGTTTCATCTTTCTGGGATTGAAACCCAGCTTCAAAACTTAGTACTTGCTTCACCTCGGTCATTTGTGTTATCTACTCTGCTTCAATTCTGCATTATGAAAGCAATGATCTGCTATCTAGCTCCTGAGATGAAGTCTGAATGAGATCATGGATGCACCTAACAGTGCCTGCAATCTTCATTTCACAAGGACTTGTCAGGTCTGCTTTTCCAATTGGTCCTGCTTGTGAGAATGTGGAGGAATCTCTCAGCCCCAGCTCTCTTCAGCCAAGGATTTTTTTCTTTTACAAATTATGGCTTTAGATTTAGTAAAGTTTGTACATTTATAAGCCTCTTATTTTAGGGTACAATTGAATTAAGGATATATTATGGTCTTAATTTTTTCCATTCTCCTTAAAACGGAGGTAACTTCTAAGTATCCAAAAAAAAGCATTAATGGTACAAGTTCCATATATTTTTTACAGTTTGTAGTAGTAGGGCTTAAATACAATATGGACATTTCATGACTGCTAAGTTTGACTCCCTTACTTCTGTTAGTCTAGATGAATACATGCCTCATACTGTTGGCTACGGTCACAGCACATAGCTTCCTTCATTGAATACAGAGCCAGCAGCCCTCATGCTCTTTATTGATGAAGGCCATTCCACTGCAGCACTACGCTGGAGCCCATGGAACATGAGGTGTTTCTCCCCTTCCCCAGCGGGGCAGGAGGAACCATACACACAGCAAGTCCTTACCTTTCATCATCTTTTAGCTTTTTATTTTCCCTGTAGTGAAGCAACCACTTCCATTTTCCATTTCCATTTAGTTTTTCCAGGATTTTGATAATTTCCTTCAGTTGAACTACAAAACAGAATAAACTCAGCAAGAGAAGATGACAACTTTAAGGTTACTTTTGGCTCATGCCAAGCCCAGTGATGATTATTTGTAAAACAAGAAAAAGACTAAGACTACACACCATCACTGGCGCTTATGTGGTTGGGCAGCATTCTGCTCTCACAAGCCCCTCAGCCTGGTCCCACCTGCTCACACTATGGTGGGAGGTAACTGTGTAGACACGAACACAGTGGAGTGGTCACCAGCAACTAGAGTTCTGTGTACAAATTGTGTGACAGAAGAGCAGCAGGAGGCCCAGTTGCAGTAGAGAAATGGGAGGCAAAAGTTTCTAAATACAGAATCTTTTTTTTTTTTTTTGAGACAGGATTTCAGCTGTCACCCAGGCTGAAGTGTGGTGGCACGATCTCAGCTTACTACAGCCTCCACCTCCTGGGCTCAAGTAATCCTCCATCCTTAGCCTCCTTAGCTGGGACTACAGACACACACCACCACACCACAGCTGGCTAGTATTTTAATTTTTTTGTAGAGATGGGATCTCACTGTGTTGCCCAGGCTGATCTTGAACTCCTGAGCTCAAGGGATACTCCTGCCTCGGCCTCCCAAGGTGTTGGGATTACAGACGTGTGCCTACAAATATTTAAAATCCCAATTTCTGTGTAGAAGTCACGCTGGTTAAGGTACATGCTGCCTTTGATCTAGAAGTGGTATCACTTCCAAAGCGATCAGAGTCGAGGCAGGTTCACAGGTTTTAGCATAAAAGTGCCCTGAGAGAAGTAAAGTATGAGTTTTCAAGTAGATGATTAAATAAGCTGACTTAGTAGCCATTTTTTAGATTTTTGTGACATCAAGATGGTAGGGGTGATGACATCAGAAATGGAGAAGGTTGATTTTAAGCAAAAAATTTAATATAGAGTTGCTCTGACTTAGCAAGTGAAGGGACTAAATATAATAAAATCCTGATTTTAGCTGCACTACTGAGAGGGAGGGAACTCAGAAGCAAGTGTGGTGGTAACAATCAGTTAACAGAGGTTAAAAGCATTGCTATAAGAGAATTACTGTATGAAAATAGCACAGCAGACAGCAGAAATTATGCCCTCAGTAGGGGACAACTGATATTCTTTAGAGCTGATCATTTGTTTTGGATGAAACAGTATTTAGGTCACTGGGTGAGAAGCTGATCTGACTTCAAAGAAACAGGAAAAGAAAATAAAGACCAACCTAATGTTACGGCTTCTAATATCTTGTCATCTGTTATCACAAAGCCTCCTGCACGAAACAGTTCTTGGTAGTTGTGATCAAGAACATCTCCAGGGCTGTCTACTCCAGCAAAGATGACACTGGGGAAATGCTTCAGCTTCAGCAAAGAAGGAATCTGCATGACACGAAAAGGACCCCCGTGAAGAGAGGCTCACTGGGCATATTTTCTTAGACACTCCCTTGCTTTTTTATCCAAGAGAGTCAAGGTTCAGGAGCAGCTGAAAATATTTTAACCTGGATTACCGACTGGTCATTCTGCCCTGCATGAGGCATATTAACTGAGCTCATCATCACCAGGGGCTGCAAACTCATCAAAATTAGTTCATTAAAAAAAGGTCACAAACTACCAAAGGTTGGAAATAATACATCATGAGGGAAGAGAGCACATCTGAGGATGTAGGCACCGAAAAGGAACCAGTCAGGTCACCTCACTTCACCTCCTTCGTCGCCAGCTCCCCTCGGTGCCAGCACTGATGGCTGCCTGCTGACAACGGCAGGTTGATGCACCCAGCCTTTGTCCACACTTGGGTCTTCCTGAGACAAGCAATGACTTTGATTCAACTAGCTGGTAAATATAATGGTTCAGAAATTTCCAAAAGGTCTTTTAAGGCAAGATTTCTTATTGTTAGGCATCAAGTGATGCAGATTTATATTTTGGATGAAAAAATGTAGCAATCTCACACCTAATTCTCCCTTAGTTAATATGTTTTTTTTTTTAACTATCTGCCCTACAAATAACTTGGTAATATTGCAGTATTCTGTGATACACTATCTTCCCACTTAAAGGCCCAACATGTCCGTTAGCTTCTCTTCTACACAAAAAAAAGTGTGATGAGTCTGATCATTACAGAACAACTTATGTGCCTGGAATACATTTCTTTGTAAGAAAGGTATTTCCAACCTACCTGATGCAAATGTGATGATATATCTTCATTTCTGATGATAATGATTAGTGTATCATCCTCTCTGTGGAAAGCTTGACAGAAGTGCTGAGGTTCAATTTCTGTATGGCCTCCTTTCCTCAGAAGGTTCTGAAAGATTTACAAATAGCCATTACTAAAAAAAGGATACTTCCACAGAACTACCTGTATCGTTTATTAAAATAATGAAAAGCATTATAGCCTAACAAGGCAACCAGAAATGACATTTGTCTTATTACTAAATAAGCACCTTTTATATATAAAATAAATGACTCAGGTTTTGTTAACAACCGGATTTAGAAGTTGATTTCAAAGGTAAAGTATCAAAGGCTGATTTTATTTTAGAACATCAGAATAATCTACATAAATCAGTTTAATCTTCAAGGTATCAGCTACCTTGAGAATACCAGATATATACTTTAAAAATGTTACCTCTAGTTAAAACATTTCTAGAGTTTAAAAAACAATACCCATAATACCCATGTATTTCTTCACCATTAATGGGGACTGATTTTGGAGTCAACAGTCCCTTGGATCTACATCTTAGTATAAGATAGGTGATGCAGTTTAAACAGCATGTAACTGTACGGTGCCACTGCAGTGCAGTCCAGTACAATAAACACACAGAATGGCTCCCTAATAATCCTGGCTGGGAGGGTAAGTTTGTGTTAATTGAGTAAATTCTGTAACCCTACCCTCCCTTTGACTATTTTTTTTTTTTTTCTTTTTGAGACATAGTCTCACTCTGTCACCCAGGCTGCAGTAAAGTGAAACAAACATAGCTCATTGCAGCTTTGACCTCCTGGGCTCAAGCAATCCACCTACCTCAGCCTCCCTGGTAGCTAGGGCTACAGGTGCACACCACTGGGCCTGGCTTTTTTTTTTTTTGCTAGAAATGGAGGTCTATGTTGCTCAGGCTGGCCTCAAGCAGTGTAGCCCAAAGCTGGCCTCAAGCAGTCCTCTTACCTCAGTCTCCCAAAGTGCTAGGATTCCAGGCATGAACCGCTGCACCTGGCCTTGACATTGACTACCTGGCTGAAGGATTCTGGGTTTCTGTTATTCCTAGAAGACTGTCTGACCATCATTTATTTCCTTCATAAAAGTGAAGTGTTACTTTGATCTGTTTCCCTTGGATCTTTTTTTTTTTTTTGAGATGTTGTCTCACTCTGTCACCCAGGCTGGAGTGCAGTGGTGAGATCTCGGCTCACTGCAACCTCCGCCTCCTGGGTTCAAGTGATTCACCTCCCTAAGCCTCCCAAGTAGCTGGGATTACAGGTGCCCACCACCATGCCTGGCTTATTTTTGTCATTTTTAGTAGAGAAGGGGTTTCACCATGTTGGCCAGGCTGGTCTCGAACTCCTGACTTCAAGTGATCTACTTGCCTTGGCCTCCCAAAGTGCTGGGATTACAAGTGTGAGCCACTGTGCAGCTCCCTTGGATCTTTAAACAACTCAAATTTTGGCTATTTCAATTCATTCAAAATATATGGTATGATTTTCCAAAAAATTATGAGATTTAACGAAGAGCTTACTAAAATATCTAAGTATAAATCTCTAGTCTTCATTTATTTGACTAACAAATTATGTGAATGAATACATTTTCATCAAATCCTGTGGTGGTCTGAGTTATTCTGTCACACCCTCAGATTTCAACAGTAAGGAAGGGTCTTTCAGACATGACCTAGTGGGCCTAACATCCCATTACTAATTAATGCTTCAAGATTCTCCAGGACAAAAGGATTATCCAAGATACGTTTCTGAGCTTTTAAAAACATTTTGGGCCAGGCCTGGTGGCTCATGCCTGCAATCCCTGCACTTTGGGATGCCAAGGTGGGAGGACTGCTTGAGGCCAGGAGTTCAAGACCAGCCTGGGCAACATAATAGTGACACTCCACCTCTATTAAATTAAAAAATTTACATATAAAATAACATTTTGCTCTTTATAGTACATTACTCTCAAGTTTATTTTGGAATGTGTCCACTTTCTCAGTTGACAAGTAGTTTTACCTTTGCACATTTATTTTCTGTTGTAAACAGTGATACCACGTGATAAAATATTATGAATCTAGAAGTACTCCTGCTATGGAGTTTGAGACCAGCCTGGCCAACATGGTGAAACCCCATCTCTTCTAAAAATACAAAAATTAGCCGGGCGTGGTGGCATGCGCCTGCAATCCCAGCTATTTGGGAGGCTGAGGCAGGAGAATCGCTTGAAACCAGAAGGCGGAGGCTGCAGTGAGCCGAGATCACACCACTGTACTCCAGCTTGGTCAACAAGAGCAAAACTTCGTCTCAGAAAAAAACAAACAAAAAAAAAAACTCCTGCTATGAATAAAACATTAGCATTGCTATACTCTCTTCTTCATGAAAATTGTATCACTTCATCTGGAAAGGAAGTGAGAACTAAGATTACTGCTCTGTTGTGGAGTCTCGCTCTGTCGGGCAGGCTGGAGCACAGTGGCTTACTACAACCTCTACATCCTGGGTTCAAGTGATTCTCCTGCCTTAGCCTCCTGAGTACCACAAGCACACACTGCCACACCTGGCTAATTTTTTGTATTTTTAGTAGAGATGGGGTTTCACCATGTTGGCCAGGCTGGTCTCCAATTCCTGACCTCAGGTGATCCACCTACCTCAGCTTCCCAAAGTGCTGGGATTACAGGCGTGAGTCACTGCACCCTCTGTTGCTTTTTGAGAAGATGGAAGCTAAAAGAAACCAAGTATTTTGCTCACTGTGCCAAAACATGTACGTGACCATGATGCTAACTTGGTTGATTCTAGAGTCACTCTAGCTCATGTCAGGGTATAGGATGTATAATTAATCAAATAAAATTAACCTTAATTCAAGGTAAAATAAAAAAACTAAACTGATTTCCAGATTGCTTTTGGAGGCTGAGGGCCTACAGAAAGACTGAGAGTGAAGACCATTCAGTATCTTTTCAACTACAGTGCTGCTTACCGAAATGGCAAGGAACTTGGAGCAAAGACAATAGAGGGAATATAAAACCAAATCCGACAACCATTCATTAAGAACCTTGGCAAACAGGCCAGGTTTGGTGGCTCACGCCTGTAATCCCAGCACTCTGGGAGGCCGAGGTAGGCAGATCACGAGGTCAGGAGATGGAGACCACGGTGAAACCCTGTCTCTACTAAAAAATACAAAAAATTAGCTGGGCATGGTGGCGGGCGCCTGTAGTCCCAGCTGCTCAGGAGGCTGAGGCAGGAGAATGGTGTGAACGTGGGAGGCGGAGCTTGCAGTGAGCTGAGATCGCGCCACTGCACTCCAGCCTGGGCGACAGAGCGAGACTCCGTCTCAAAACAAAACAAAACAAAACAGAAAACAAAAAAACCTTGGCAAACAAAAGGATCCTTGGCCAGGGAAAAATACAATTAGGTTAAAGAGCAGATTCCACACATTTGAAAAAAACCATTTACAGTAATATTTAGTTGACTCAAAATATGAGCCATCTTGCAGAAGAACAGTGTTGCTGACTCTAGCAACAATGGAGTTTCACGTTAAGGCAGTGACTATCATTTTTCCAATCTGTTCTCCATCTGCTAAGATATAGCTCTAAAATGCAAATATGATGCTACTTGTTTAAAAGATCTTTTACAACGAATCACAACCAGTTTTTAAAGATCTGTAAAAATCCCTACTCCGCCTGCTTCACTTGAAAAAAAAAACCTTTAAAAAGATTTTTTAGAAAACTTTATCTCTGGTAGTCTAGTGGTTAGTGGGAAAAAACCCAACAGAACCTTTCCAGTGGCTCCCAGAGACCTCAGGATGAAGTCTAAATGGCTCAGTGTGACTCAAGGCCCTGCCACTGCCACATGAGGCATGAGGCTGTTCTCTCCCACAGCCCAGCCCGAGCTTCTGGCTGACATGGCTCATTCGCTCTGACCAGCCCTCCAGCACCAGGAGGCTGTTCCCTGTGGTGTGTTTGCCAGCTACACACCTCCATATGAGAAAAGCTAGGCAGACCAAGAAATCTTTATGCAGCTCTGTGGTTTCGGCAGTGGCCTCTGTACTCCAGATCAGAAGTGGTCTTGTGACCCTGCACCCAGGGACATTGTAACAATGAGGGACACATGTCCCTCATTACTAAGTAACTCGTTACTCAGTAATCCAGCACCCATGGACTCGCCATGTGGCAATTGGGAGTTAGCACAGGAAATCAGCAGAAGTGATGTAAGTGAAGTCTAAGACAGACCTAGCGGGCATGTGGAACCGACGTACGGCATGTCTAGTTCTGCACATGGCCTGCAGACCCCTTATGCTCTGCTTCTTGTGCTGCAGCACTTCCTGAGGAAAGACCTCCCCGGCCAGGCCAACCACCCTCAATGCGTCCTCGAGGCACCTGCGTCACATTTACCATCACTTTCATTTTACATTTATTTGTGTGACTCTCTTAAAGAATCAGTGTTTTCCTGTCCCATTAGACTGTAAGAATCATGCCAAAAAAGCAACATCCCCCCCGCCCCACCTGGACACGCTGGGGCTCTGGGGTAGATACTAAACAGGACTGCTGGCATCTGAATGGAGCTTTCTGCTGCAAGGGTGGGGGAGGGCAGCTGGCCCCTCAGGTCAGGGAGTTTGGGGAGGTCAGGGTTAGTGCCTCAGTGAGGGGTCTCATTATACCTGGGGTTGGGAGGAGGATCGGGGAGGGGGACTTGGGAGGGATAATAAGTCAAAACACTGAGGATAAACAGTCAACCTCAGAGAAGGAAGCTCCACACATGGAGAAGGCTAGCACAAACCTGGCAGTACTGGACTAGAATTGGGGATGAGTGTGAACTCCTCTGTTTTTGCTTTTTATACGTAAATACAGATGTAGATATATGTATGTACATATGTACATTTATTGGCTTTACGTGCTGAGAGGACCTAGAAGCAAAGACACCAAGTGGCACTGAGTTCATTCACCAGTGCCTAGATGGTGATCCTAAATGCCACTCTTCACTAAAGAGTCACAGCTCCTTGGAGAAATGCTTGACTTCAAAGTAAGGGAAAGGAAAATACAAGATAAGCCTGGAACATTATGTTACACCCCAAAGTAAAGAAGTGCCCAAAGAATTATGGCGAATTGTCAAAAGGACACAGAAGCCAACTTAAAGGGACTCCCACTGGCTGGGTCTGGGAAAATCTAAGTATTAAAATAATGAAGAAACAGATGATAACCCTTTAAGTAAAACAAAATGTGCCATGGCCCATAGTGATACAGATAAGCGAATGAATAGATAAATGGAAAATAAGGGAAAGCTCTATTCTACAGCACAATGCCAACTAAGAAATGCAGAAGGAATCTGATGGAATTTCAGTATCACTATTTGGCAATCATCATAGTAATAACTGATTCAGATAAGAATCACCAGTTGATGTTAAATCTAGTGGATAAAAGTGTGATAAAGAATAGGATTTTATACAGTCTCAAGTATCTTCCAACTTATTACTAAGTTCAACATAACTTTACATTGGAGAAACCTGGTAGAAATCATCTTAACCAAGTGAAAAGGTTAATATACCAGTAAGGGGATCAATCCATTGGTGCCTCCTGATACAATGAATGCACTGAGAAGAGCAGCACATGATATCTGAGTATTCTCACCTAAAATGCCTAAGTCATGGAGAAACAACACATGAACACAAATGGAAGGAAATTCTACCAAATAACTGGCCTACAATCTTCAAAACTGTTAAGGTCATAAAAGATAAGGAATAATAGAGGAACTCTTGCAGACTGAAGACATGACAATTCTAGACACCTATGATCCTGGACCTAGATGAGGTTAGTGGAGATGGTCACATTAATTAATATTATATTAACTTCCTGATGTATAGGGTTGTTCGGTGGTTAAAAAGATGAATATCCTTGAACTTAGGTAATATACATTTAAGTATCAAGAGGTAATGGGACACTGTGTGTGCAACACATTTGCAAATGGTTCAGAAATGTTAACATTGGGGTATCTCGGTAAAGGGTACTATTTCTGCAACCTTTATGTAAATCTGAAATTAAAAACAATAAATTTTTAAAAATGTTGTCTATACCCAAAATAGAAGAGAAATAAATTCTGGAAGGATAAAACAATGAAGTTAATGGTGAATCAAGACAGGTTCTGGCTCCGCCCATGCCAGAATTTCACCATGGTTCCATTACTTAAATTTAAGGACTATATTACTCCATGTACTCACCATAACATCAGTTATCCTAACATTTAAATTAAAAGAAAAATACATCCAAAACCAGAAGAGGTCCTACTTGACAATCTACACTAATGGAGGAACACAGGTAATAATACTTCTCGAAAAATATGTATTTTAACATTGGAATGTGTTTGTATTTACATTTGAAGTACGGGCATGTGTACACTGGTAACTTTTTGTGAAAAAAAGTCACTGCCCTAATTCTGGAACATAATACTAATTTTCAAATATAGTACAAATGGCAGATCCTGCAGAAAAACATTTAGTAGGCTGATAAAGACTAAGCTATGAAATTTAAATCCTATGTCATACCATGATTTCTTTTTGATGGCTAATATGCTAAATTTATTATTTCTAAAACTAAAATTAGCAATTAAAATAGTATGTAAGACATGACTGGCACTTTACCTTTGTTCTTACAAAGAATGATTTGTCTTCTGTTTCAACAAGGTAGAACAGGAAGGTACTTTTACAAGCCTCTTTCACAACACGTCTTAGTTTGATGTGCAAATTGCTGCACAAGTCTATGATTATGTCTTCAAAGGAGATTGACCGTCCTGGGAAAGGCAGATACATCACTTGAGCAGTGGCTTCTCCAGAAGCATCATTTAGCTCTTTGTCTTGGAAAACGACTTGGTTGCTATTCTTCATCACCTTGTTGAATTCGGCATACTCATTGAGAATAAGTGAGATATCATTCCGAGATTCCTTCAAAGTACTGTTGTATTTCAGTTTGTTAAGGTGGAATGAAACAGTCTGATTTCTTTGAGAATTTGTAAGATCTCTATTATGACTACATCTCTCTCTCCAAGAGGAAGAGTTGTCCAGATTGCTGGCTGTGTAGCCTCTCCTGGGCTGCCCCTGTGGTCTGGGATCTGACTCCACAACTGTTACCAGAAGGGGGCTTCTGCTCCTAGGTGCAGGATGCAGAATTGAGGCCTCAGATATTTTTGTCAAAGGGAAAGCACCAATGGAGATCTGGGTCGGTAACTCCTTTGGAAAGACATTGGCGGAGGAGGCAGAATGCTGAGAATCCCCATTCTTTATGGTCTGTTTTAGCTTATGTGCAAAACGCAGATACTCCAGGTCCAAAGTGTTCTGGGTGAGGTCGTCTGCCACCTGCCAAGTGCTTGTCCAGGTGCTGGGCAGGTCACAGTTTGCAGTGAAACTCGGGTGCCTCCTCAGGCTGTGTGAAGTTCTCATGGTGTCTTTGAGCTCTTTTGTTACAGAGAAGTTGGCGTAAGTCCTGAGGATCCCGTGGAGATCTCGGATTTGGACGTAAGGCGGCACACACTTCTCTTCTTTCTTTACCCTAGTGGTCCAGTGCCCGGGAGGGAGGCTCATCTCCATGCCTGGAACCTGGCTAGAGCAGCCCCAGTCCCCTTGGTTGTTGTGGAAGTTCAACGATGACTCACAGCCATCTGTGGGAACATCTTCTTTTTTCCTGGTGTAACTACCTCTTAGAGTACAAGAATCCTCCAAATCGCATTTGGCATTTCTACAATCACCAAGCAGGTCTAGATCAGAATCTCCAGAAAGCAGTTCATAGTGCATCTCGGAATTCCCACTGACCTCTGCATCTCCGCCTAGGGTTTCAGAACCAGCCTGAGCCCTAAGCCCCTCCCCACCGTTCTCAATTTCTATGTGCTCTGTGGATATTCCACAAACAGAAGTATCAAAGGATTCTGAAACAAAGGAGGCCAAAGGCTCTTTACTGAGATTTTCCCTGGTGTCTGCTGTATTTTGGTAGGGACTAGCACAAAGGGAGGAAACCCCAACATTCAACAGCTCCTTTGTTTCACACGTTGACACATCTTGCAGCGTGTGGATGGCTTTGCGTTCACCTTTTAGAGAAGATTTGGTGTTGGACTGAGGGCCAGCAGTGCCTAGACCTGTGATTTCTTTATGTAACTCAGCTTCAGTTTCACCATTCTTAAGCAAACTGGCCATCCTGACTGCTGGTATTTCCTGTGCTTGAAATGCCGGCTCCGCATTTATTGGTCTTACATAATGGGTTAATGTGGCACTGTCTGAGGAAGAACAAAGTGTGGGGACCACTGAGCACATGCATCCCTGTGTAGAATAAGCTCCATCAACTGAGGCAGTTGTCAAGGACTTCACCTGCAGATAAACGCCTTCATCTGTTTTCAAATCACTGGTAAGGAGATTGTTCTGACTGCTTTTAGGGCTAGTCTGCTGTTTTACTATACCACTTGGTACGGCTGTGGAAACCAATGTGTCAGACAAAGACATATTTTCAGTAACATTTCTGGGACTAAATGGAGGTTCACTGGACTCCAAGACAAGATGTTTTAAGTCCAAATTTCTGTTTTCTACTCTAATTGGCTGCAATGGATTTCCTGATTTTACCAGTTTTTCAGAAGGACTGAAGTCACCTGTGTATTCGGCAGCTGAGGCAGGCTGGTTTAACTCCCTACCATAGCACTGCACCTTTCCTGAGAAAGATAAACCCTCATCATGCTCACTTGAGACAATTTCCTCAGTTACTTTACCAGGAAGGGTTGGTCTGCCTGTTCTTCCTGGATGATCAGTTAATATTAGAGGCATTTCAGCAGAGACCTGCATTTGTTGTACCTGGGTAAAGTTATCTTGCCCCACTGGATGGGCAGGACCAACAAAAAAATTTTCTTTTTCTGTTATGCCTAAGTCTTCTGACACACGCTGGGAGATTCGGTTGCTCTTCTCACACTGTGTACCATGAAGTTTTAAAATGCATGGAGTCACAGCCTGATATGGTCGTGTCTCTTTAACTGGTACTGGAGGTTCAGGACTAGAAGCTGGTGATACTTCCTCAATTACAGAATCAAAGGGAAAATCAGAGGTCACATTAATTTCCTCTGCAATCTCAAGTGTGCAATTTTCTTTAGAAAGTATTACAGTAACTGGTTGTAAATTATCCCCCTTTCTCTCCTTATTTTCTACTGGTTCTTCTGACACTGTGGGATATACTGACACACTGTCAGCAGAATTCACTTCTCTGCTTTCTGTGACAGCCACCTCTTCTGGTTCACCTATTTCCTCAGCTACATCTTGAAGTTCTAAATTTGAAAATGGGGCCTCTTCAAATTGCTCTATTTCACCAGCTGGCATTTCTTCTCTGGGACTTGTAGGTGGTGATATTGTTAGAGCTAAGTCAATGTCAGAATCTTCCTCTGATAACTCTAGGCTGACCTCTCTACTCACAGACAGCCTTCTTTGTTTGATAAATACTGAATCAAACTCTTCAAAATTCCTATTTTCAGTGTTTGGACCATTCTTGTCATTCTTCCTCAGTTCTAAAGAGTCACCTGATGTGTGGCATCCTGATGAAATGCAGTTAAGTGAACACTGCTTTCCCAAGGCAGCAGAGGCTGATGATGAGTCCACTTCAACCTGTGTCGGTTCTACAAGCCCTTCTGAAGACAGGCTGAGGAGACTCTGAGTCTGCGAAAGGAAATTCTGAGTGCACCTCACTTCTTCACTCGGTAATAGATAACTAGAACTTTTAACTAATGATAATGCCTCCATTACCATTGCTTTATCAGACGGTAATGAGACTGGAAGAGGCATCTCTTTCTGTAATGAACACATTTCTTTATCAAGTGTCTCTCTACCTACTGAGGAGGCACAAAGGTACTTAGAGCCTTTCTGTCCTGCAGCTACTAGAGAGGAAATGTCCCTCAGGCCTTGTGTTTGTGCCTTTTCCGAGGTGGATACAGGATGTCTAAGGCTTGCAGCAGGTGATACTTGCTTAATCAACTCCTTATTAAAGGTTGTAGGTTCATCAGCTGTATTTACAGCTTCTGTCTCTAATGGTACATGTGCATTTTTTTCAAAGATGAGAGTAACTGGTTCTGGATTAATCATTGCACACTCCATATTATCATCCTTTCTTTCCAAGGAAGGGTGACATTCATTGTTTAGGGGGCTGCCATGGTGGATAAGGTCCTGTAAAGTACCTGTTTTTGTTTGCATTGCTGCATCAGGAACATTCACTTTGTTTTCAAGGGTGCTACACACAGAGCTCTGACATATCACTGGCTGACTACCAGTCCCATCACAAGTCCTGGTGAATGTGGTTTGAGTAACAGTGCCACTGTAAGAAGCCACTCTTGTGCTATCCAGTGGCTGAACAATTTCTTCTTCATTAGGAACAGAGGGTCCATTAGTTCGTGTACTTCCAATACCAGAAAGCGCAAGATTAGAAGTCTCCAGTTTATCTAATGATTCTTGTTTAGCTTCTTCCCCAATTACCTGAAATGGCCAAAGTAAAAAAACAAAAAAAATCAGTCACATAAAATGTTTTTTATACAATTATATGTACATGTGAAGAACAGAAAAGATAAAAATTAATTTTAGTTTGTGAATGTTCTTTTGAATTTTCTAGCTGAAAATATCGCAGGGTACAAATCAAGCAAATCCCTCTTTTAAAGGCAGGCTTAAAATACCCTCAATGGGATTTGTTTTCTTTAAAACCATACACAGAGGAGACCTCCAAAACTTTCTGAACTTTGAAGCTTTTTTCTCTTTTTAAATGAGCTTTTTGGAAGAAAAATAGCTAGACTACTGACAATTTAAGACTTTAAATGCAGCCTGTTTGCTACTTAGCACCGCTTAATCCAGAAGTGTAGCACTAGAGAAAAAGCATTCAATTTTGTTTTTAATAAATTAGATTATTTTTATTTTTATTTTTTTTAAGACAGGGTCTTGCTTTATTACCCAGGCTGGAGTACAGTGGAGTGATCTCGGCTCACTGCAACCTCTGCCTCCCGAGTTCAAGTGACTCTCTGCCTCAGCCTCCCGAGTAGCTGGGATTACAGGTGCATGCCATCATACCCAGCTAATTTTTGTATTTTCAGTAGAGATGAGGTTTAGCCATGTTGGCCAGGCTGGACTCAAACTCCTGACCTCAAGTGATCCACCCACCTCAGTCTCCCAAAGTGCTGGGTTACAGGTGTGAGCCACCGTGCCCAGCCTAAAAGATAATTTTTAAAAAGCAAAGAATAACATTTTTAACATCCGTTTTCAATTAGACCATAAGTACACTATCATCTGAAACTTTCCCATGAGGCAACAGAGTAAATTAATTACTATCCCCTGTACTCAGAATACATCGATTCTAGTAAATAAAGGCCCCTCATCCCTTAGCTATCTTTTTTTGCATAAAACTGGGGATACTTTCTTTCTCATCTTAATACCTCCTATTGTACAGGGCAATTGAAAACTTATCAATGTGGTTTGCATTCATAAACTGAACTAAAAGGAACTGATTCAAACAGTAGCAAGCAGGATTTAGGTTAAACATGAGCAGAGCTATCATCTCAGGACAGTTCTGATAACCTCATAAACAGGTTGGTGTTTGTTTTTTGTTTTATTTAAAGCCTCAAGCATGGTCTTGTCCAGCATATGATAAAATGAACTGATGATACAACTGATCATACCTCTGCAATGCTGGAAACACCATGCTTATAAACTGCCTGCCATGTCTTGAAGCGTACATGTTGGAAATCAGGAACTGTGTTCAAAATCTCTTGTTAAAAACATTTCTGTCTTAGGTAGGGCGTGGCCTCTCACACCTGCAATCTCAGAACTTAAGCAGGCTGTGGCAGGCGGGTCACTTTAGGCCAGAAGTTCAAGACCAGTCTGGCCAACATGGTGAAGCCTAGTCTCTATTAAAAATATAAAAATTACCCAGGTGTGGTGTCATGCGCCTATAATCCCAGCTACTCGGGAGGCTGAAGCAGAGAGTCACTTGAACCCGGGAGGCAGAGGCTACAGTCTCAAAAAAAACCAAACCAAACCAACAAACCCATCTCTGGCCGGGGCAGTGGCTCATGAGATTCTGTCTCAAACAAAACAAAATAAAACAAAACAAACAAAAAAACAATTTCTGGCCGGGGCAGTGGCTCACGCCTGTAATCCCAGCACTTTGGGAGGCCGAGGCAGGTGGACTGCCTGAGGTCAGGAGTTCCAGACCAGCCTGGCCAACATGGGAAAACCCCGTCTCTACTAAAAATACAAAAATTAGCTGGGCGCGGTGGTGCATACCTGTAGTCCCAGCTACTTGGGAGGCTGAGGCAGGAGAATCACATGAGCCCGGAAGGCAGAGGCTGCAGTGAGCCGAGATCACACCACTGCATTCCAGCCTGGGCGACAGAGACACCGTCTCAAAACAAAACAAAATCTCAGTCCTGTAATCTCAGCACTTTGGGAGGCCGAGGTGGGCAGATTACCTGAGGTCAGGAGTTTGAGACCAGCCTGGCCAACATGGTGAAACCCCGTCTCTACTAAAATTACAAAAATTAGCCAGGTGTGGTGGCAGGCGCCTGAAATCCCAGCTACTTGGGAGGCTGAGGCAGGAGAATCAGCTGAACCCGGGAGGCAGAGGTTGCAGTGAGCCAAGATAGTGCCACTGCGCTTCAGCCTGGGGGACGAGTCAAGACTTCTTCCCAAAACAAAACAAAAAAACAGAGTCAGAGTCAGCAGCGTGGGGCTGAGACACCAGAGTTTTAAGAGAACAAAGTATTAGAAAAGTCTTGATAGTCAGTGTCCTTCTGAGAACTTTAATGGCCCTCCCAATCATGTGGCTGGTAACGTTTAGCCTCAGTCCTAAATCTCACCATGACTGTACTCTTAGTGAAATGCAAATCGTGACAATCTTGATATATTTATATTTCCATATGTTTTTATTGCAGGTAAAGTATAATGCTTCTAAAATAAAGTCTGATAATTCAGAAAGAGTACTCAACTAAACACATGACTAGCAGCAACATGCTCTTGGTTTCTAGTGGCTATCATGCCAGAATCCCCTTCACATGCCGGTGTGCCAACTGGTGGAGGGAGTGTGATAGCATACTTGTGTGCCTTTCAAGTACAGGCACAGCATTCAACGAGATGACAAAAAACCAAAACCTATGTAAGTACATACTAAGGAGATTGTTAGGAATCATTGATTTGAACAGTCAGGCTTGCCAAAGTCATTGCTAAAATTAGTACTGATGATAGTTAATTATATATTACCACAACAAATGGTATTTTATAAGAAACTAGCATGTATATACGTTTTAATCTAAACCTCCCTGATTAAACTATATTTTCTTACTCTAAGGTGGTGATTCTTAAATGGATTTTACGTAATTCTTTGAGAACAGGATGGAACTGCTGAATCCCATCTTTAGAAAAAAAAAAAGCACATACATAGTTAACGTTTAGGTTTTCTAGACTGGAATCTTGGCTTGACAATTTTCTATGTGACCTTAGGCAATTTCTTTACTTCTCTGTGCTTTGGTTTTGTCATCTGTGTAATGGGGAGATTAAGAGTCTTTAACTTATTTGAGAATGAACTGAGTTCATGTGAGTGAAGGGCTTAGAACACTCACTATCCGGCACACAGTGACTCAGAAATCTTTAATTCTCATGATGATGACAATCACTTGAAGATATTCACCGGTTCTGTGAGGCTCACCCAAGGACCTCCAAGTCCCCAGTGACCCCGGGTACAGGAACACTGTCTACTCTTTGTTAAGACAGGAATCATAGATGCTGCCCAAACCCAAGCAATATTATTCTAGAATAAATTTGGGTTGAAAGCTTTAAAAGGTAGGTAATTTTATCAATTCATTTGCTTAGAATTTTGTTAACAACTTTGAGATTTGCTCCAGGTAAAATCTGGATTATCTGGCCTGGCTGAATGTCAGTTGAGAACAATGGAACAAAACGAAGTATATTTTCCATATTTACAAATAGTTATTTGCAATGGGTCTTCTCTCACAGGTCTGGCATTTTACTATTCCAGCATCTGTCTTCAAACATAATTTTAATACAAGTAATTTTAGTTTACTTTAAGGTTTATCAAAGTATGTCTAATATTTATTATTGCTATATTTGATCCTTAAACAATATTCTACATAAGACATGACAGGCATTAGTCACCTCTTTTAAAAATTAAGGAAATAAGCAATTTGCCTCAAATTATGGTGGGCTCCCAGGTCATGTGGACCCTATGACACTTTTCTACTCTGTTTTTTTTCAATCAGGATGGCAGGTAAGCTCTACCTGCAGACAATTCGAGGACACTTCATGAAAACTAAGTTTTTGGTGTAATAGTTCTTTACATACCTTGAGAATTCACTGTCCTAAAATTTAAAAATGCCTTGTTTTGAATGTGATTTTACATATAAACTTTTTTTCTTCCAAAATAATGCCAACATTTAACAGTATTCAGCTTAACGTACCTCATTATTATAAGAACAGACGAAATCCTGGTTTTCTAGGGTGTCTCGATGACGCTTTCTTGCAAAAGTTTTTTTCTGTTCATTCTGTACACAGAGTTCCAAGCCTTGGGTAAGTGGTGTTTTAATGAAAGGAAGCAAGCAGTTAGGATCACGGAAGGACACTTCAGCAGCATGAGCCCTGGAAATTTCGTTAGTCTCCAAGAGAGGGTCTGCAGAACATCTTTCCAAACCAAGGCACTCCTCAATTTCACTGAGCTCACAAGATTCTAACGTGCTATTTATAGACACATATTTTGCTGGGTTGCTGTGTTCTACAACTTTTCGGGAAGATCGTATGACTTTGTTCTGATTGCTGTAAAACAGAGCTACCCACATATGAAGTAAAAGCTTCACTTCTTCCACATTATCAGGCAAATCAGTATTCCAGGGCCTAAGAGTTTACAGAAAGAACACATGAAAATCATTGAAAATGGTTATTTTAGTTGATTACCTACCTTATCATAAGCAAGTGCCTCCAACACTAACCTTAGTTTTTGTTATTTTTAAAATTTACAGATATGAAACATGAATGAGTAAATATGTAGTTGACTTAACAAATAATTATCAATCTAACCCACTCATTTTACAGAGACAGGAACTGAGAATCAGAACATGTAATTGCCTTCCTTCAAATCACAAAACCTGCATGGCAGAACCATGATCTGAACATGGGTAGCACGTGTCTTTTACGTCATACAAATTCACTCTGGACACAAAATACTTATTGTAGAAATAGTTTCACCAATACCCAAATCCTCATCACCATGCGTTTGCTAAGTCTGGCTGATTCATTTATTTTCCATTTTTGTGTCTCTCTTCTAATAGTTGAGAAAGTCTGAAGATAAAATCTCTCTCTGGGCAATTCAACAGAACTATACTATTTTCAGATTATAGTTGTGAAAAATATCCTGAAACTGTAAAGGGAGACAGAAAACATTTCTGGCCCTCTGGCAGGCAAAAGGATGGCAGATCGCCGGAGTATGATAAGTTAGGGGGGCTGCAGAGTTGGGCAACAGCTAAACAGGAAGTTCTAAGGAAATGACCTTTATGAGTATATATGAACATGTGTATGGAAGAAAGCCTGACAGCTGTAGAGTCCATATAGTCAGATGTGAAATAGTTCATTAATAGGGAGCTGAATGTCATTTCATGTAGCTAACGAGTGCTTCTTGCTAACAGTAATGGTTACCATTTATTATTACTACCGGCCAGTCACTGTGCAAAAATCCCAATATATGTAACCTCAGGATGCAGCTACATACTTAAGTGTTGGCGACAGACTGTCATCCACCATTGATGTCACCTGAAAATCTGTTAGAAATGCAGAATGTCAGGTCTGTCCCCGAGGAGAATGCATCAGAATCTGCAGTTCAGTGAAATCTCTAGATGAGCAGCACACGCAATTAAGAAGCACTGTCCAGAAGCAAGACACTTGCCCAGGATCACAGGAGGTAAGAAAGGGAAAGAACCCGGGTTCAAACCTACACTCCAAAGACGGTGCTGGTCACCACTCTGTTAATATTGCCTTGATTCCTTCTTGAGGGAGATCTATAGAACAATCTTATGTGAAACTGCTTAGTCCTATCAATCTGACCAATTTACCAAGCTACAAGTGATTTTTAAAATGTTTCCTCTGGAATTCAGTCTGTAAAGCATTATTTCTAAATCTCACACTATTTTACATTAAGATCTCATGTAAAAATTGAAATTCAAAAGCCACAAGGGCTTACGAAGGAGCACTGCAAATTGGAAAGCTATTCATCAGGCTAAAATTATCTTTAAAAAGTTCTCCACATGAGCACAGGGGGAAAACCAGCCTGTTACTCTTTATTGCCAGGAAACATGTTTGCTTGATGTTATTATCAAATTTCTGGTTTTACACACACTTCTTTCTCCTTCTCCAGAGTTTGGCACAAGTTTCCCCATCTCACTACATTCATCTCAACAGAAAAATTTCATCCATTTTCACCAAGCTTCACTCATACTCACCCATGTAATGCTCTTACTACAGTTTTCTCCAGTGGGTTGTTGGTATATTTGCTATCTAAGCTGAATGCATATTCGGTTTCACATTTGAAAGTGATCCTAACGGAGTCATCACAGCTAAACACTATACGAGAGCAAGATTTTTTCACACGGGAAGACGCTTGTCGATCCTTGGGCTTCACCATGGGCTCGTCAGGAGGCTTCGGCGGAAGCAAAAGACCAGGCTGATGCCGAAACGGCATGACTTTCCCCACTGGGGTTACTGCTTCCGGGCTTTTTGTCCCATTCTTGGGAAACACAGGGCTTGGTATCTCTCTCTCCTGTAGATTTTTCTGTGAATGTTCTCTAAGGAGCAGGGCATAAGAATGTTCCACAGAAACAGAAGAGCTTTGACTTGCATCTGAAGATTCTAGCATTTCCTCAGTAAGTGCTGACTGGGCTTTAGCAGGGGCCTGACTACACGGAACCAAGCTTTCTTCATCTTGGCTAACAATTAAGTCTGACTCAGAATTACTCTTCCTATCAGAAGATGGGTTAGGAAGTAATTCGCCTTTTTGACTTTTAACTCCTCTGTGATATTCATGGTCAGATGTACTTCGCAAAGAATTTTCTTTAGAGAGCAAAACATCATTTTGTGGCAATTCAGAGGAACAGTGAAGATTTCTAGGCTCAGATACCGGTGTGGAAGAAGTAGCAGAGCTTAATGCTAGATCGGCCAACATATTTAGGGCCTGGGAGTCATAGTTGACAATGGAGTTTTCAGGAAGATCATTGTGAGCCACTGTGGTATTTTCTGGTTGAACGCTATTTATGCTAATCCCATCTTCTTGACCATCTCTTGAAATTTCTGATTGAAGCTTTGAAGCAGTTTCTCCTTTGACTTCAGTATAAAAGAAAAAAAAAGAGAGATATGTTTGCTTGTTATAGAATTAATTCTCTGCCATATTACTATGATGGTTAACTCAACATGTTTGAGAAAAACTTGTTACATATATTGCATATTAAAATTTTCTATTAGATTAAGGTCTCTTCCAACCCTCAGGTAAAACTTGTAATACATAGCATATTAAAATTTTCTATTAGATTAAGGTCTCTTTCAACCCTCAGATTATAATGTGTTAAACCAGAGGGACAAGTCTTAAGGAATGTGTACATTAATTTAGAAAGAAATTACCTTTCAAAAACATATGAACTGATCTACACACAAGACATACAGCTCAGCTCAAAAAATGTACAAACAGAAAAAAACAAAACAAAAAAAAGATGACAGTCCTGCCCTTGGGGAGCTTACAATCTAATAAGGACAGGAACGTAGAAGTTTCAAGTGTGTATTAGAGTTTGCTAACATACTTTCTCAGGAATCATTTCCCTGAACAAATGATTTATTAGAGAAACTATCTAAGTTCAAATGATTTTAACTATATTGATCTTTAATTACATGATGTGATAGAAATAAAAAATTAGAAAAGTCATAAGAGTATTCAGAATCATCAATTAATTCCATTACCTTTTAAACTTTTACTTTCATTACCAAAAACATTGCCTTTTACATTATCCAAGAAAGAGCAAATCTACTGACAATGTTCCTTTTTATAGATAATCAAATCTACCCATATGCCCTTAATCAGAATATTTACATTTGCTAGCGGTTTCCCTAGGTATTTTCAATATATTAATTATTCCTTCCTAAATGCTGTTATTATGAAGGATAAACTTCACAACTCTACTAGGCAATGATTCTCTGCTGCAGGTAGATAGATGAACAGAAAAGCCAACTGTGTTCCTCTTTATCATAGTAGCAGGCCCAAAATGAGTTAACAACCTGCCAGCCAAGGCCAATGAGTAACACATTTAAAGAGAAGAAAGCTCCAGCCTATGATGTCACCAATTAGAAAGAGAAGGGCATGCACATACATGGGGAAAGGGTTAAGCTAATCAACCACTGCCCAGTTTTTATTTAAAACAGCAGACCCAAAGGGGACAGGTGGATGAAAAGGACCCAAAGCAGATAATTGTCTTGTTAGCCCCAAAGGTATACTGGAAACATAAAATTAATTTTGTGATCTGATGCTAATTTCATTCTATCTTTGTTATTATGGCCTCCATCTACTTATCCCTTACACAAAACACTACTTATCAGTAAGGCCTAATATAAAAGATACTGTATTAAAATAAAGAAAAATGGTAGTTTAATATATTACAGTCTCACATAAATCACCCAATTATTGACGTGTTACAGGTTCTCAATAAAAAAAATACACCACCAATACTTTCTATTTAAGACATACATAAGACAATGCCAAAGGAACTACACTAAAAAAAAGTTTAGTGAATAAAAAGGACAGAAAATCAAGTTTCATTAACAAAAGGACTGTTTGACTTCAAAATTATCATTTGATTCTAATTTAAATCAGTAATTTTCAAACTGAGGTCAATGTGGCTATGGTTCATCTACCTTCTTAAACTTTGATATTTCAAGTATAGGAAGTAAAATGATTAACATAGGCGCTTAAGAAAAAAATTAAGAGATTTAAACGTAGTCATTTAAAAATGTTAACTTGGAATGTGGCTCCGTAATACATAGAGACATTTGCAATACAAATCAGCCTGTATTTGAACACATATTTTGAAAACTTTAAATTTTCTGGGCTCACTTTTCTACCAGTATGCAATTACATACCTCCTCCCATTAATCAATTTGTCAATAAACATCTGAAGCCAATTCAGTACAACGAATTCAAATGACGCTGCTAGGAACACAAGATGTTATCTATTCTCATAATGTTTACAAATTGGAAAGATTGGACCAAGATACGTCAAATGACTTGAAAATAGTATGAATTAAATTATATAATGTTCTCAAATATCCCAAAGAAATGAGAGATTAGTGAGAGTCAGAACATGAGAAAATGCCTCCCTGTGGGGATAAATTCTAGCTGTGAGCCCCTGACGGGCAAAGGATGCGTGGGGGAGGCACATATGGCCCACAGGGGAAGAAGCATGGTGGCAACAGCAGGGGCGCAACACAGAGAGGTGGGGTGCAGCCGCATCATAAACTCCCAAGAGAGACAAGCAGAAGAGCTCAAATTTGGTATAGAAGCCAAAATTGCAGCATATGGGTTTTTGAATGACATGATGAGCTTCTAAAAAAATCTTCAGTCACAAAACAATCTGAAAAACCTTAAAGAATCTCAGGGTATGCTTAAGTTAAAAAAACAAACAAACAAACAAAACAAACCTGGCTGGATGCAGTAGCTCACACCTGTAATCCCAGCACTTTGGGAGGCCAAGGCAGGCAGATCATGAGGTCAAGAGGTCGAGACTATCCTGGCTAAAATGATGAAACCCCATCTCTACTAAGAATACAAAAATTAGCCAGGTGTGGTGGCATGCACCTGTAGTCCCAGCTACTAGGGAGGCTGAGGCAGAAGAATTCCTTGAACCCGGGGGCAGAGGTTGCAGTGAGCAGAGATTGTGCCACTGCGCTCCAGCCTGGCGACAGAGCAAGATTTCATTTCAAAAACAAAAAAAAACCTCAACAATCCACTTTCTTTCTCTGAATTCTCACTCTCTGTGAGATACTAAAATCTAGTAGTAGATGAGGGAGAAAGTAGAATCAGGAAAACCAGACAGAAAACTCATAGAAAAGATATGAGGGAATGACGTCTCTTTGTTAAACAAAACAAAAAAATAACACGCACACCACAAACGAATCAATACCAAAGGCAAGAAAAATTAAGGAAAGTAAATCCGGGAGGAAAGCTGGTATGTGTCTCACTAAGGTGACAACAAAACTTTCTAGTACAGATATGTCCAGAGGTTGAAAATACAAAACTAGAGCAGTTCATGTGACTAAACTTGATTCTTCACTTAAGCAAAGTTAAATCAGTAAAACTACTTTCAAAATTAATGCCTTTTAAAACCAAATATAGGATTCTCAGCTGGGCATGGTAGCTCATGCCTGTAATCCTAACACTTTCGGAGGCCGAGGCAGGCAGATCACTTGAGCTCAGGAGTTCAAGACCAGCCTAGGCAATATGGTGAAACCCTGTCTCTTTTTTTTTTTTTGAGACGGAGTCTTGCTCTGTCGCCCAGGCTGGAGTGCAGTGGCGCAATCTCAGCTAACCACAACCTCCGCCTCCCAGGTTCAAGAGATTCTCCTGCCTCAGCCTCCCGAGTAGCTGCGTTTACAGGCATGTACCAATACGCCTAATTTTGTATTTTTAGTAGAAATAGGGTTTCTCCATATTGGTCAGGCTGGTATGGAACTCCTGACCTGATGATCCACCCACCCTGGCCTCCCAAAGTGCTGGGATTACAGGCGTGAGCCACCGCACCCGGTTGAAACCTGGTCTCTATAAAAAAATACAAAAAAATTAGCTGAGCATGGTGGTGCGTGCTTGTAGGCCCAGCTATTTGAGGGGGCTGAGGTGGGAGGATACCTTGAGCCCAAGAGGTCAAGGTTGCAGTGATTATAAAGTGTGACCCTGTCTCTAAATAAATAAATAAAACCAAATAAAGGATTCTGCATTACTGACAGTTCTGGACAGTCTGTTTATAATTCCCTTCAGATAAACTTATACTTTTCTTGATAATTATAATTTCTTATAATTATAATGGTCCAGAAAAACAATGCCAGATACTACTTCTTCTGTATTTAGTTATAAATAAGGCCATTTATACTTTAATGCTTGTAGACAATTCGTGTTCAGGCTTTTTTGCAAAGTAAAAAGTAGACTCTATTGTTTTTGAAGGTTTGAGCCTTTGTACCTTCCTAATTTATTTACATTAACCAGTTTACTTATTTTTTTTCATGTCTGAACTGAAAAACACAGAAAATATTATAGGGACATTTCAACTGCTCTTACACTATTTCAATATATTATTTTGCACTCTGTTAGATCTGTATTGGGGTGTTTAAATTTATAGGAAGAGTATTTCTTACCAGGTTGTAGCTGCTTTCTGATTCTGGGGTTCTCATTGCCTTTTACTATATTTACTCTTTGTTTTTGTGGAGATTTCTTCACAGGTGGCTTAGCCTTTGGAACAGTTTTGACTGGAGATTTCTCTTGTTTCCTTGCCCTTTTAGCATTTGTTGGCACTGGAACATCTTTAGAAATAGGAGCTTCTTGGTTTTTCCTATCCAATTTGGTTTTCTGTACAAACTGTGCAGTCAGCACTTCCGCACCTTATGTAGAAAAGACATCATTTTTTTAAGGGGTAGGGGCCCAGATACTTAGCATAGCTTTTCCATTTTTTGTTCTGTTTTGTTTTTATTTTGGGGGCAGTAACTCTAGTAATGGGGAATAAACTATGAAGTTTCAGGTATTTAAAAGATTTTAACAAAGCAAAAGTTAAACATTCTCACATAAATATAATATGAACTTGCTAAGTGTCTGCCTATATCCCTATCAGATGAAGAAGAAAAAGATCGGAGTAGTAACTTTGTAACAACTGAAAAAAAAAAGAAAAAAAAAAACAAAAATCTTTAGGCTAGGAGTGTGGCTCACACTTGTAATCCCAGTATGTCGGGGGCCATGACGAGAGGACTGCTTGAGCTGAGGAGTAGGAGATCAACCTGCTCCAGGCTGGGCAAAAGTAAGACCCTGTCTCAAAAGAAAAAAAAAAAAATCTTCATAACCTTTGCTGACTAATGTGACAGGTCAGACTGAATATGCTAGATCACAGCCCCAGGATATAGATATTCACGTTTAAACAAAAAGCAGCACAGCTCCCATAAGGCGATGTGGTTAAAACTATAACCACACTGCAGAGAAGAGTTGTATCGAGAGCAATATTATATATTTGGAGAGCCATATTATATATTTTACGTTACTACTTGTAAACATCTAAATTTTAATACCATCTGAAAAATAATCTTTTAAAAGATGGGAAGACTGAGGAAAGTTTGCACCTGGTTTTATTTCTAACAAATCTACTATCTTACACAATTATGTCTCTTAGAAGTGCTCTGTTTTGCTTCTCACATAGTATAAAAATAGCTAAAGGTGGAGGTGGATGGAAAGAAAAAGGAAATACTAAACACCTGCTTATAATGCACAATAGAAAGTATTTCAATCTTTTAAGAGTTAAAATTTAGCCTCAAAGATATCATATGAAATAATCACACATATAAATGTTGGCAAATATTTTTAAATTACATTATACAGAAGACACTACTTCTCACTAAGGACACTAAAGATCATATTAAACAGTTTAAGAAACTGTGATGAGTGTTAGTGAAATGTAGCAGAAAAAAGGAGACCCATTTCATTTCATTCTTTTGGGGGTTAGGGAAAGGAATAGTTTTAAAGATGTTTTCAGAATATCTTAATGCTGTACATTTCAAGTCTGATTATTTTCCTCCCTACCAAATTATTACATTAATAAGTACTAAAGCAGCATACTGTTTTAAGAGTAAGACTTCTTATTACACTCTAATTACATTTTCTAAAATCTTCAGCATAGGGAAAAGTAAAATAAAAAAAAAATCAGGAAAACAGTTAAGACTAAATTAAAAAGAAAAAGATTAGACAACCAAGACCCAGGGGGAAACTTTCTAATATTTGTACAAACAGAAAGGGAAGATATTTGCAAGTACACCCAGGTCTTGGGAAAAAAAAGATAAGAAAAATGAAACAAAGTGATCCTGCAGGGATTGTTCTGTTCACATGGAACACTCAGTACCATGCTTCTCAAACTGAATGCAATTAATCTACTGGTGGAGTTGTAAAATAAATTCAATGATTCAGTGTGTCACAACTGGAATTCATTCATTCATTCTTTCTTTTTTTTTTTTTTTTGAGATGGAGTCTTGCTCTGTCACCCAGGCTGGAGTGCAATACAGTTCACTGCAACCTCGGCCTCCCAGGTTCAAGAGATTCTCGTGTCTCAGTCTCCCAAGTAGCTGGGATTACAGGCCAGCGCCCCCATACCTGGCTATTTTTTGTGTTTTTAGTAGAGACGGGGTTTCACCATGTTGGCCAAGCTGGTCTTGAACTCCTGGCCTCAAGTGATCCGCCCGCCTCAGCCTCCCAAAGTGTTACGATTATAGGCACGAGCCACTGCACCCAGCCCAGAACTCTTAAATGAAACAGAACAGAAGGTATCAGACTGTATAACACATAATTTTTTTTTGAAATTTTTGTTCCAGTCATGTATGAATTTGTAGGTACCGGAATATAATATGAAACGTATTTCTTACAGTGGATATAATTAAAAACATTTGAGAAACAGTGACAATTTATGTTGAGTTATGGACAATTGATTCAATACCTTAAATTGGTTCATGCAGAGCAGTATGGTTGGCCTGGAATCTATTTTACAGAGAGTTGTACCGTCTAGTGCACTGCTTTATACTACCATACTTTCCACTTACCCTCCTAAATACACACATCTCCACCCCATTCCTCAAGCCACAATAAGCCAGAAACCACTATTTGTGAAGCCACAGGATAAAACCAAGGCTGGGTGCAGTGGCTCACGCCTGTAATCCCAACATTTTGGGGGGCTGAGGCAGGAGTATCGCTTGAGGCCAGTAGTTCAAAGTCTAGCCTGGGAAACATAGTAAGACCCTATCTCTACAAAAAAATTTAAAAACTTAGTGGGGCGCCCCTGTAGTCCCAACCACTCCAGAGGCTGAGGCAGGAGGATCACTTGAGCCCAGGAGTTCGAGACTGCAGTGATCTATGATCATGTCACTCAACTCCAGCCTGGCTGACAGAGAAAACCTGTTTCTAAACAAAACCAGAAAATTCCAAACAAAAAAACCTCCATAGGGTAAACCCTGAATTATTTAGAATCCTGGGATTACCATATCCTAGATGTTTCTTCTTTAGGCACCAACATTTTCAAATTCAAAATATTACAGACTGGCCTGGCAAACATTTTCTGTGAGGGGCCAGAGAGTCCATACTTTCAGCTTTGAAGGTCACGTGGTTTCTGCCACAGCTGCTCAGCTCTGCCAACATGGCATGAGAACAGTCAGAGATGACACAGGCACAACTGAGTGGTCCCTCGGCCATAATGTGCTGCCTTCTTCTCCAAAGGGGTCACCCATATACTTCCCTACTCTTTTAGAGAAATAATAGTAAAATACAATTTGAGATGACTCTAGGGCAAAGTCATATGGTTTGCTGTGCTATGTTCACTGAAATACATTTGCCAATACACTAGGTGGCTCAAGATTCCAATTCTCACTCAATTTTCAGGGAGCATAAAAACCACATGAAGAATCCAGGTGCTCACGTAAAAACCTGTGGTACACATAAAGGATTAGAAACTCTGCCCCAGACTACTTTACTTTTGGAGGTCCCAGGCATTTCCCTCCTCTTTATAGGTGTTGAGGCTGTCAGTTATCACCGTTTGCTGGTACTGATGTGCTTGATTTTAGAAGAACCTCTTCTACCTCCATTTGTGAAGAGGATGGCACAGAAACTAGATGGTCGTCTTTCTTAGAATGGAACATACACGTGTGAGTGGTTTTACAAGGTGGAACATAACATGTTGGTGGTGGGTAGGCTTTTGAGGTATCTTGGTCTTTCCTATTTCTTGGTTTTCAGTTGCTATCTCAATCAGTGCTTGTCAGGCATTAGGAGGCACACAATTGCCTGAAGAGAAATGATGGCAATTCTAACTGATGCTGCAAAGTTGCAGTCCACAGAGACCAAGACAGCAAGAGGGATTGAATACAACAACTATTATTATCATTACTGAGATGGAGATTTGCTCTTGTCACCCAGGCTGGAGTGCAATGGCATGATCTCGGCTCACTGCAACCTGTCTCTTGGGTTCAAGTGATTCTTGTGCCTCAGCCTTCTGAGTAGCTGGGATTACAGGCACGCACCACCACACCCAGTTAATTCTGTATTTCTAGTAGAGACAGGGTTTCACCATGTTGATCAGGCTCAAACTCCTGACCTTAGGTGATCCACCCACCTCGGCTTCCCAAAGTGCTGGGATTACAGGCATGAGCCACCACGCCTGGCCACAACTATTATTATAATAACCCACATAAATCGTGCTTACCTCTTTTTCTTTTCTGAGGAAACTGCCCTTTAACTAACTTAAGAGTTGTTGGAGAGTCCGAGCTGTTGTCTGCTCTGGGAGCAGTTCTTTTGGGAAAGGGGTGGCACAAGTTCATCTTTTTACTCTGCACCACGTGTGGCATGCTGGCCTTCCTCTTAGGCTGCACTCTCAGATTGGACGCTGGACTCAATGGAACCACAACTCTCTTCTTTGCTTTCAACATTTCTTCAGAATCCTTTTTTGTTTCAGTTTCTTTTCTTACTTCTGCCTCTGAGCCAGGAAAATCAGGATCTGGAGTCATAACTAAAGAAAATCCAGCATCACAAATTCCGTCTGAAACACAAGGAGACTGAGGATGCTCTGCTAACAAGTCCAAAGCAGTAGACACTTCCAAAATGTAAGCACTGGGGTCTGAAAAATAAGAGTTCAACTGAGTTAAAGACTCTGAAGGGCACTTTTCAGCTGGAGGAATCAAGTCAAAACCACTGGGCAGTTTCCCCAAGAATGTAGGGTCTTTCATTCTATCCTGAGGAGCAACAGTCAATGAAGGGCTTCTGTCCGCCTTGTACAGTTCTTGGAAATGCTTTACTAATGTGTTTGGATGGATTCTTTCTTCAGGAAGAGATTTCTTTGTTTCTAGCAGGGCACAATTAAGGGCAGGCAAAATAGGTATCAGCTTCATTGAGATGTCATCTTCAACTTTCAAATCTTTTACCCCTAAAATATATATACATGTATTAAACATCTGAAGTTTATTTTTTAAAAACAAAACATTCTGGAAAAAAATGCTTTACATTTCAAAATTACGTGATGGTTAAATATGTTACAGTCTTTCAAATGACAACCTAAATGGCAATTAATAGAAGACTTACAGGTACATTTAACAAATATATCTCCGTGTATTTGAAATTATACACACACACACACACGCGCACACTGAACTGAAAAAGTATCATCTGACATGCAATCACTAGGTTAGAACAAGTAAACTAAACCCTGCCTCCAGCTCCATCTCACTAACAAGGAGCTCATGAACTCAATGGTCCATCATAGCAGTACCACTAGCCTTTAGAGCTGGCAGATTTACTTTTGTACTTTTTCTTATTTTGTTTTAAAATTTATCTTACTGTAGCTCTACCTTATTGAACTCACTTTAAATTCTTTTAATGAGTTAGTGCAAATCAACTGAACTGAAAAAAGAAGCCCTAAAAAATGCCGAAATCTCACTGGAATGATTATTGCTAATTTTATCTCCTTTTCTATCAAATGAAATAAAAACTTCTAAAACTGACTAGTCTATGTTTCACCTCCTCTCTTTGGCCCATGCTTTGACTGAAGTGCTAACTTTTTCTTTTTTTGCAAATGAATAAAGGAAAGAGTAAAAGGGAAAAAAAAGAGAAAAGGTCTGGTCCCTATGAACTGGGTAAAAAAATCCTAGAAAATTTGAGTTGTCAGTAATATAAAGCCACAAGAAACAATGGCCTTCAAGGCCTAGTAAGTGAAAATAAAAATTGTACCATTCTTTTTAAAGAAAAGTAACTTCAGAATAAAACACAAAGTTAGTTCTAGTTAAATACATTAGCACTACAGTAGTTACAGAAAAAGGAAATGAAGGACAAATAACAGTAAAAAGGAAAATGTGGCCAGATATCAAAATAAAAAGTTTTGTATTTTTTGTAGACATGGGATTTGTCGTGTTGCTCAGGCTGGTCTTGAACGAGTGGGCTCAAGAGATCTGCCTGCCTCAGCCTCCTGGAGTGCTGGGAATACAGGCCTCCACCACTCTGGGCCCGAAGTTTTTATAAATTAAATTGTCTTAAAGTTATTACTCTGGTCTTTTTGTTATTTGTTTTTTGGTTTTTTTTTGAGTCACAGTCTTCTTCTGTCACCCAGGCTTGAGTGCAGTGGTGTGATCTCAGCTCACTGCAACCTCCGCATCCCAGGTTCAAGCAATTCTGTGTCTTAGTCTCTTGAGTAGCTAGAATTATACACACATGCCACCACACCCAGCTAATTTTCATATTTTTAGTAGAGATGGGGTTTCACCATGTTGGCCAGGCTGGTCTCCAACTCATGGCCTCAAGTGATCCGCCCGCCTTGGCCTCCCAAAGTGCTGGGATTACAGGCGTGAGCCACTATGCCTGGCCAGTCTTTTTCTTCTTCACCTGATATAAATAGGGGCAAACGCTTGGCAAGTTCATGTCATATTTATGTGAGAATTTTAATCTTTCACTTTGTTAAAATCTTTTAATGAAATACCTGAAACTTTATAGTTTACAACTGAAAAAAAAAAAAAAAAAAAAGAAATTAAAAATCTTACAGGAGCCAGATTTGGAGTTAGCTGTTAGACCATAAACAAATTCGACCCTGAGTTTCTTCATCTTTGAAATTGTTATAAGAGTACTTATTTTATGGATTGCTAAATCTACTACTTCCACCACAAAACCTGACATGATAAATGCTGGAAAAATACAAACAGCCACTGCCAATTATGTTATTATCATGGGTAATGCTTTGCTTGTTGCAATGAAGTGATGCCTAGGAAAGCACAGCTTTCTGCTTTAAGTAACTAGTTTTATTATTATTATTATTACTATTAATTGTTTTGAGACAGAGTCTCACTCTGTCGCCAGGCTGGAGTGCAGGGGCGTGTGATCTCAGCTCACTGCAATCTCTGCCTCCCGGGTTCAAGTGATTCCCCTGCCTCAGCCTCCTGAGTAGCTGGAACTACAGGCATGCATGACCAAAACCAGCTAATTTTTTGTATTTTAGTAGAGACGGAGTTTCACCATGTTGGCCAGGATGGTCTCGATCTCCTGACCTTGTGATCCACCCACCTCAGCCTCCCAAAGTGCTGGGATTACAGGCGTGAGCCACCACGCCTAGCCAGTAACTGAATTTTTAAAAAAAACTTTAAAAACATTTTTATATTGGTTATAGCTTTATAAATACTATATAGAATTTTATGTTTAAACACACACATTGTGATTATAAAACAAAGTGACTTTTTTTTTTTTTTTTTTGAGACAGGGTCTCACTCTGTTGCCCAGGCTGGAGGGCAGCGGTACAATCTTGGCTCACTGCAACCTCCGCGTCCCGGGCTCAAGTGATCCTCCCACCTGAGCCTCCCAAGTAGATGGGACCACAGGTGCAAGCCACCACGCCTGGCTAATTTTTCTCTATTTTTTTGTAGAAACGGGGTCTTGCCATGTTGCCTAGGCTAGTCTCGGAACTCCTGAGCTCAAGAAATCCACCTGCCTCGGCCTCCCAGAGTGCTGGGATTATAGGTGTGAGCTGCCGTGACTGGCCAACTCTCATTTATTTATTTGTTTAGCAAATATTTACTGTTTTATAGGTGACTGGCATTGCTACGCACTAGGGATATAGCAGAATACAAGAAGGGCAGGCATTAAATAATTATACAAATGAATATTTAAACTATATGGATGATAAATAAGCATAGGGGTCTAAGTTGAGCAAAGCGTGGTGATGGGAATAAAGAAAGTGATAGTGAAGCCGAGCTTGACAGATAGGAGGAAGAATAAACTAGATTAGTGTTTCTCAATCTTTTTAGTCATCCTCCTCCCCAGCCCTTTTAGACCCATTTTTCCCCCAAATTGACCTCCAAAATTTTAATACCACATATACACTGCATATCTGTTTATGCACTGTATGAGTAGTATTTTTTTGCCCCCAAGAGCCAAGGTTTGGTCCTCTGGTGGATCAACATCACCATAAGAATGTATGGGCTTGATATGAAAAAGACTAATAGATAAGGTACAGATAAGGAGAACAGCACCTATGAAGACCCAGAGCCTGAGACATATTTACTGGAGAGACGATGGCAAAATTCAATAACAAATGAATTCAGTTTTAGACATGCTGAATTTAAGGCACCTTTGAGATATCTCAGTGGCAACGTCAGTAGACAAGTGGAGATATGGGATTGAGGTCAGAGGGAAGCATAAACCTACAAGGGAGGTCAAGAAGGGTGAACCAGTGATGTTAAGGGAAGAGAGATACTTAAGAGGAAAAAACAGTTAACAGTGTCACGTGCTGCTAAGTGGTCAAGTCAGATGAGGACTAAATATATCCAACAGAGTGAACTGGAAACCACTGTATCCTCACCTGTTGACAGGGGTGAATGAAATAAATGTAACCCATGCAGACCCATCTGCTTGCCTCCAAAATCTATGCAGAATGAGAATCAGAAAAAGAAAAGTTAGGTTGTTGATCTTATAAAGCAAAAGTAAACATAATGAAAAATATTTTTTCCCAAAACAGTTGTCCATACCTGGTTCTGATAGTAAGGCTGATGATGTAAGTAAAATGAAAAACCCTCGATCTTCTAAGCATTTGATGATTGCCTTAAATATAAATGAAAAATTCAACTGAAGGAATATTCTGCAATCCCTCTCTTCTCCCTCTACCCATACTCATTAGTGAATATGGACCTCAAGAAAAGAAAAAATTCTGCACATGTTATGGGAGTCAGGGTAATTCTGTCCCCAGTATCAGAAACTTCAAATTCTTTAGCTGAAATAATCTTGCCCCTGTTGGGGCTATATAAAATAACCAGAATATGAAGGGTTAGTTTTAGAATAGTGCTCAAGCACATGGCAGATCAATCAGAAAAGCCTTACTTTTTCACTGAGACAGCTGACATTTCATACCACTGCTTAAACAGCCAATATGTTACCATGTAACCAGTATAAACTCAAGATGAATCAAACCTGTAAGTAGCATCTTAAGCTCATATTTACATGAAAATTTTCCGAAAACCCTGAAACTAAAAAGACTGCAAGATACCATCCAATAAAAGACTTCTTTCTACAGCATCTTAAGAAATGGAAAATAACAGAAAATAATCAAGTTCCAGGGCAATAAGAAATACAGATGAAAATAAATTCTTCCTCTCTTTTGTTTCCCTCTATCAGAGTCTTCAGTGGACTCTTGAGCTCAAGAAAAGTCTTGAAATTTTAATGCTTTCAGTAACTGGGGCAGTTTTGTCCCCAGGCAGCAGTTGCTGTCTAAAAGCTGTTGTTCTAAATCATGAATTCAATAGCTTTTCTTTTCTACTGCTTACCACTTCAAAAATCTATATACACATAAAAGATAAAATCCAGTATCTGTACAATAATTTTTCAGTTAAACCACCTAAACAAAATATACCATTTTACAGAATAAAACATTTTATTTCAAAACTGAGAGGTGATAAGGCTACAAATATAAATCATTATTTAATCACAATGAATATACAAAATCAGACTTTTCTAATGATTACACTACAATAAAGTTAGGACACTAATATCTCACTCACAAAAAGAATCACTACTTTCAGTTTTCAAAAAGATTCTATGAGAGTCTCTATGTGTTGTATGGCATATGATGATTTACATATTTGTCTCCTCCATAGTCTCCTAAGCTCCTTGACTTACAGGAGCTATGATTTAAGAGCCTATTTCTTTGAAAGACAGGGTATCACTCTGTTACCCAGCTTGCAATGCAGTGGCACAGCAACAGCTCACTGCATCCTTGAACTCCCGGGCTGAAGCTATCCTCCCACCTCAGCCTTCAGAGTAGCCAGGACTACAGGTGCAGGCGGTTATGCCTGGCTAGTTTAAAAAAAAAAAAAAAATTTAAATTTTTTTATTTTGGTAGAGATAAGGTCTTGCTATGTTGCCCAGACTGGTCTCAAACTCCTGGCCTCAAGTGATCCTCCCACCTTGGCCTATCAAAGTAATGGGATTATAGATGTGATCTGCCATGCCAGACTTTAGGAACTATTTTGTATCCTTGCTTCTTGCCCCTCCTACCCAGTATGTGAATCATCCTTTTCTTTTTTTTTTTTTTGAGACGGAGTCTTGCTCTGTCACCCAGGCTGGAGTGCAGTGGTGCGATCTAGGCTCACTGCAAGCTCCGCCTCCCAGGTTCACGCCATTCTCCTGCCTCAGTCTCCCGAGTAGCTGGGACTACAGATGCCCACCACCATGCCCAGCTAATTTTTTTGTATTTTTTAGTAGAGACAGGATTTCACCATGTTAGCCAGGATGGTCTTGATCTCCTGACCTCGTGATCTGCCCACCTCAGTCTTCCAAAGTGCTGGGATTACAGGCGTGAGCCACCACGCCCAGCCGTGAATCATCCCTTTGTCCAGTGTATCCATGCTGTAGATGCTACCCACCCAGTAGGCCAACAGTAGTACTTCATAATGCCTGCACCACCTACCTCACTCATCACAAGTAGTACTCAAGTAGAGTATAATACATAAAATATTTTGAGATGGACAGTCCATACTCATATAACTTTTCTTACAGTATATAGTTGTAACTATTCCATTTTATTATTGTTGTTCATCTCTTACTGTGCCTAATTTATAAATTAAACTTTATCATAAGTATGTATGCATAGAAAAAAACACAGTATACATAGCTTCAGTACTATTCACAGTTTTGGGCATCCACTGGGGGTCTTGGAACATAAACCCCACAGATACTGTATTACATCAATAATATATAAATAAATATTAAACATGAAACTCCTCACAGCAAATTAAAATGATTCCATCTAGACACAATTAATACATACATATCAATTTAAGAAAAACATAATAATATTTTAAATTAGTGATTCTTACCAACTGCTTGTTTTTAATACATTCTGTTAATTTATCTATATTTTCCCCTTGTCTGTTTGACAGTTCTACCTCATACAAATTGAAGCACAAATCTTGAAAACAGACTGTAGAGAAAACCAGAAAAACATTTATTTTTAATATGCTATTATGTACTTATAGTCAATTTGTTCATTTTATATGTTGCAAAAATGAAAGAATAGAAATACTACTCAAAAACCTTTATCATTTAATGTTCTTGGTTATAAAACTCCTTCATAAAACATCATCAAAACAGTTATTTTAAAACAATGCTTTTATACTGACACTGCTCTAAGATTAACAAGACAAATACAAATACATACTACATGAATAAACATCAGAGCTCCGTGAATTAACCTAAATGACCAAGAAATTTCCTTCTCATGGTTTTTCTTTGAGTTTAAAAGTACGTCTATAAATAAAACCAACAAAAACTCTATCTTCCTTGAGAGGAATAGTTATAAGTTTCCAAATGCTTTTAATATCTGTTTGCTTAATTGCATCAGTATTTCTAGATTAAAGCTAGTCTTTGTCATCTTAGATAAAACTACCTTGCAGTTTCTAGTTGGCTTCCAGGGAAATGAAGAAAATAGTAACTCTACAACTTTCTCACAAAAGACTCTTTTAAGAGTCACTTAAGATTAAATAGAAGTGTGCATGTTTGAATGTTTGGAATAGAGCAGAAAATAACCAGAACAAAGCCCAGGACAAGCAGCGTGTTACTACATTTCAACAGACCTTTCCGCTCCAAGTAATTCTGTTTTCTAAAGGCAGCCTCTGGTAGTCGTTTTTTCAAGGAAGACACTTTCATTACATACTTAAAATCTAGTTCTTGTGGTCTAAAAAATAACACAACAATATCAAGCAGAATAATAAACAGTGGATCTAAATTTTCATAAGCTTTAGTTTTCTAATATAAATGTAAAAAAATATATAACCACAAAAAAGACCTTAAATTGATAAGCTCCAGGTTAAACAATATGTATATTTTTAAGTACGACAGATTTTCAAATACATGACCCATAAACCATGGTCTGCAAATGTTCACATTTTCTAAATGCATGTCTTTTTGGTACAGACAAAATATCTAGATGTCTCAAAAAATTATGTTTACAGGAATAAGGAATTTTTAAAAAATTATGCTATTTAAGAGTTATTTCCTGACTACTTTTTCCCTTTTTTGTGTGTGTGAGATGGAGTCTGGCTCTGTCACCCAGGCTGGAGTGCAGTGGTGTGATCTCGGCTCACTGCAACCTCTGACTCCTGGGTTCAAGTAATTACCCTGCCTCAGCCTCCGAAGTAGCTGGGATAACAAGTATGCGGCACCATGCCCAGCTAAGTTTTGTATTTTTAGTAGAGACGGCGTTTGACCACATTGGCCAGGTTGGTCTCCAACTCCTGACCTCAGGCAATCCGCTCACCTCAGCATCCCAAAGTGCTGGGACTACAGGTGTGAGCCACTGTGCCTGCACCCTAGGAAATTTTCTTATACAACCCCAAAGCAACAAGCAAAATCAACACATTCACAATGATACGATACTATGACTTAACCTACATCTTATTCAAATGCCGCCAACTGTCTCACTAAGTTCCTTCACAGAAAAAGAAAACAATTTCCAATCCAAGATGCCATAATGCATTCAGTAATCATGTCTCTTTAGTCTCCTTTAATCTGGAACAGTTTTTCAGTCTTTCTTTACTTCAATGACTTGGATATTTTGAAAAATACAGATGATTTTGCAGAATGCTCCTTAATCAGCATAGGTCTATCATTAACTTAACCACTTAGTTAAGATGGTATCTGGCAGTTTACTCCACTGGTAGGTCTGCATTTTTTTTCCTTTGTGATTAATAAGAAGTAGTGGGGAAACGTTGTAAGATATGCAAATATTATTAAACTTTCACCTGTTTTTAGCATACACTGGTTGATTATTATGGTGTTGTCAAATGCTGATTTTCTAATTTATTAATCTTTCCACATTTATTAGTTGCACTCTATAATGAGGAAGAACTTACCCTCCTCTCCTATTTGCTTATTCACATAATTTTTATGTTGTGGGTTATTATACTCCTACTTCTTCTTAAAAAAGGCTGATAGGAAAAAAAATGAATCCTTACAACACATCAGTTTTCACCTTGTATTTCAATTAAACTATGACTATTTCTTAATGGTTTGGGATACAAACTAAGAACAGGCTGAACAAAAAAGATTTCCTAAGATGTTCTTCACAGTTCCCCAGAAGAAAATATTAATCATGATAATTGCTTTTAACGTAAATACATGTAACAGCTACTCTAATACTTTTCTAAGAGAACCATGTTAAAATTTGAAACTCAGATACCGCAAAATGTTAATAAAAATAATATTAAGTGGCTATAATCTGCTACATTTGCTATCAGGCAAATCTGATTTATTTCTTGGGGAAGGTCAAATTTCTACTTTCAAATAGTTTAATTTATCCCAAGAGGTCATTTTCCCATTAATAAATTAGAATTTAGGTTTCCTATGTCATATCCTGTGTGCTATACATCTACCCAAATGTACCCTCATCTAAAATCAGTAACAGTTGCTGTATTTTACACCAATGCCACCCTTGAAATGAAGGGGGGGGAAACCCCCAAAACTTGTAATATAAGCATTAGTAAAGGACATGACATTTAATACTTACAGCTGTGTTGGAATCATTGCACCGTAAGTGGACCAAAGAGCTATATCACATAGCATACGGTCTTGAACTATTAATTTCCCTTTCCATGGAGACATGAGAACTTTAAGAAATGAAGGTAAGAAAGAAACCGATTATTTATGATGAAATATTTACTCAAGAAAAACAAAAACCTAAAATAATCAATGAATTATTTCTCACCATTTTCGCTGCATTCAAGTCTAGCAGAAAAAAAAAAAGAACATTTTTACAAGAGTAAAAGAAACAGATTCAGTAAAACAAAGCATGTATACAATTACTTACATGCTTTTATGAGCTGGTGGTGCCATAGTTTTAGGTTCCCTGTATCGAAAAGCTACAATTACATAAGGACAGATCTGTCTGGGTCGCTCAATAACAGTGTTGCCTGAAAGTTCGTAAAAGTAATACTGCAAGAAGAAAAATAAGTATTATCAGGGTAGTAGCACTATGGAATTGCATATGTACCAAGTTTTTCTCAACCCCACCCAGCCCTGAAATTTAACACATTAGACTCAGAAATATATCTTGGGTGTTATTCATTCACAGGTGACTATACCTGACTCAGTTCAAAGGCACGAAAATGACTCGTCTTGTTAGAAACCTTGTTAGTATTTTCAGACACGTGGCAATCATAGCCAGAAGATGGCTTAGTATAGTTAGTTGTATAATTCTCAGACACAGACTTGACTTTTCCCTAGAATGAAAATATTAAAACTAATCAGATGCCGTCAAATAGCAATAACCTTTACTCTAGGATTCATTTAGCAGTAGTCTAACAAGGATGCAGATATGTGTCCCCTAACAGTAACTGTATTAAGAACTATACTCCTTAGAAAAACAATTATCTTAAGGCCAAAAATAGTTTTAATTATCCATGAACCCTTAAAAATGTATTTAAAAATCTTGGACATCTGGGCATCTGAGACAAATATCCATAGTTTTTATCACAATATCAAAGAAATATATGAATCACCCTAAATTTAAGAGAGCCATTTCCTTAAAAGAGTAACTACAGCCCACCATCTTTTATGTTATGGTCATTGAATGGCTCTTTGGTGACTGTAACGTAAAAGAGAACAAAATCTAAAATTTCAAAAGACGAGTTTCCAATCTGAACTATGATCAGTTGTAAATTATAAACGGAGATACTTCTATTATGCCAGGGCCCAGCAAGTTAACAAGAAGCAAATATGTAGCAAAGTTCTTAGCAGGCCGCTGGTCCTGGTCACTGAACAGTCAGCAGTATTTTCCATTACGGATTTCTCTCCATCAAGGGTTACGTGTCTCTCAAAACAAAACAAAACAAAACAAAACAAAAAAACAAAAGAAAAAAGCAAGCAGCTGGGCACAGTGGTTCACACCCGTAATCCCAGCATTTTGGGAGGCCAAGGTGGGCAGATCATGAGGTCAAGAAATCAAGACTATCCTGGCCAACACGGTGAAACCCTGTCTCTACTTAAAATACGAAAAAATTAGCTGGGCGTGGTGGCACGCGCCTGTAGTCCCAGCCACTTGGGAGGCTGAGGTAGGAGAATTGCTTGAACTCGGGAGGTGGAGGTTGCAGTGAGCTGAGATAGTGTCACTACACTCTGGCCTGGCAATAGAGAAAGATTCTGCCTCAAAAAAAAAAAAAAAAAAGGAGTTAGGCCAAGTTTACCATTATGATGAAATATGCAATGACTTTAAAAGCTGTTTTGAATGATACAATGACATAAGAAAATGTTCACAAGATGTTATTAAGTTAAAAAAGAATAGCATGTAAGTATATACAAACTCTTTCCATGGGTTAATAACTCAATATATAGGAAAAAATAAAAATATACAATATATACCCCAACAAATATATCAAAATGGGATATGGGACTATAGGCAATTTTAATTTTTATAAGAAGAATAAAATTACTTTTTTAAAAAGAAGATGTTTTGTTGTTATGTCCTGTGTCTTTATTTACAGACCCACCAAAGGCCAAACCACCACTAAACCAAAAAATATAAATAGTACTTATCAGTAACCAACCACCCCTACCATCTCCTCATCAAACATTTTATGGTTCTGTGTGGCTCGATTTTGTGAAATAAAATGAAGATGAGAACACAGAGGCAAAAACAGCAATCTCCAGCCAATGGCAAGAAATCAAGGCTTAGGCATAATCTAAGTAAAAAATGAAATGCTCATTATCCACATTAGTAGGCATACTTTCTGCAGCACTCATCGCAGAGCAAGAGAAGAAAGATTAAGGGAGGAAAACTACTGATTGTACCTCAAAGCAATGTCACTCCCCAACCCTTTTTTTTTTTTTTTTTTGGAGATGGAGTTTTTTGTTGCTGTTATCCAGGCTGGAGTGCAGTGGCGTGATCTTGGCTCAGTGCAACCTCCACCTTCCAGGTTCAAGTCATTCTCCTGCCTCAGCCTCCCAAGTAGCTGTGATTACAGGCACCCGCCACCACGTCAGGCTAATTTTTTTACACTTTTAGTGGAGACGGGGTTTCGCCATGTTGGCCAGGCTGGTCTCAAACTCCTGACCTCACCCGCCTCAGCCTCCCAAAGTGCTGGGATTATAGGCATAAGCCACAGAGCCCGGCCTCTCCCTCCACTTTTTTGAGAACAAACTTCACAATACTAAGAGTTCACACGCTTTTTTTTTTTTTTTTTTAAATTAAATGTCAGTTAGTGCTAGGCTGATAACCAAAGAATTTAAGATAGTAAGAAAGTTAAAACAAAAACAATATAACGAGACCACAGAAATGTCCTCAAGAAGCCCAATCACATCTAAAATCAGTTTCCCTTCTGTTTGGGTGAAAATTCCAAATTGCATGATTCACTTAAACAGTACCATTTAGGACATTCAAGGATTTGTGGCATCATCAATTCTAGGTGGCACATGAAGCTGTGAAGCTGGATGTCTTACGGAGAAAGAAAATCAGATTCTATTGACCATTTAAATTAGACAATGAATGTTGTTTTCTAAACTCATCTTTTATAAGTATAATCACGTCATCTTATAAGCAGCTACTTGTTTTGTTATTTCACGTTTAAAAAGTAGCTCTGACAGGTGAGAGGAAGATTTTTCCCTGCATACCCTTTATTTTTGAAGTTAAAAAAAAGTTTACAATCTAGTAAATGAATTAAAAAGTTTTCTTTTTAAAGAAAAGGAAAAATAGTTTTGCTTTTCCTGAATTTGGACAGCTAACTTTGGTGAGGACTATGTTCAACTGAGATCTACAGAGAATATCAAAGGTAGATAACCTTAAACTTTAAAAGGAAATCACGTAACAGCACATTTAGGCTTTACCTTAATTATATTGAAAATTACAACATAACCAGATTTCCCATGATACCATGGTCTTGGATGAAGATAGTCGGAGTATTTGGAAATGTATACACCTGTAAAAGTATAAAATATAGATTAAGCAGCAGATTGCCCACCAGAGAGGAGAAAGTAGAAGCAATAAGACCAATTAGAAAAAAAGCTACTGTGATAGTTGAGCAGGAGAGGAGGATTCAAACAAGGCAGCAGCAGTGAAAAATGAGGAGGAAAGGACAAGCTTCAGGGGCATTCCTCAACTGAGGCACCTCTTTCAAAACATAAGAGACAATGGGTGAGAAAACTGATACGGTGGAAAAGAGTGATGATTCTGTAGTCAGAAGCTTGGGTTCCAGGTAAGAATAAGTCACTCAGGTAGGGAGGGTGGGCCTGGGTCACAGACACAAACACCACAGGGTGCTCATGAAGATTTAAAAGATCAATAAGCTTTAAAAACTATTATTAATTGAAAGTATTATTACACACAAAATTATCCAGTTCTAGTCAAGCCAAAAACTACAAAACACATGTAAGTAGTAGTGTTAATTTTATTATCAACCCCAGTGCATGTGTTTTTGAAGAACGTGTATTTGTCAGGAACAATCCAGTTTCTACTTCCACCACTCTACTGAAGCCAGCCTCTCAAACATCAGCAATGAAATCATAAGATTGTAGGAATGCAGGAAAATGTTTTTTTTTTGTTTTGAGATGTAAGCTGTAGTGGTTATTTGTAATTTACTTTCAAATTCTCCAGAAAAAAAATTAAACAAATGAAGCAAATAATGCAATATGTGTGTGTGTGTATATATATATATTTTTATTTATATTTACATTTATATACATTTATATTTAGAGACAGAGTCTTGCTCTGTTGCCTAGGCTGGAGTGCAGTGGTGTGATCTCGGCTCACTGCAACCTCTGCCTCCCAGGTTCAAGCAATCTCAAGTCTCGGCCACCTGAGTAGCTGGGATTACAGGTGCACGCCACCATGCCTGGCTAATTTTTGTATTTTTAGTAGAGACGGGGTTTAGTTAGCCATGTTAGTCAGGCTGGTCTGGAACTCCTGGCCTCAAGGGATCCACCTGCCGTGGCCTCCGAAAGAGCTAGGATTACAGGCATGAGCCACCACACCCAGCCAATAATGCATAATACTATTTGCTAAACTTTGGTGATGGGTATATTACACTATGCTCTTTACTTTTTCTATGTTTGAATTTTTCATAATGAAATGAGAGTGGGGTGAAAAAATAGGAGAGAAGAAAAAACGTTGTATGCAGTGTTATTAGGGTTATGAATTTATCACTTTTAATGTCCCTCAGAAGATGAATTGAATGTAAATTTTAATTTTTTTTGTTTTATAGAGTTATCATATGACCCAGTGGTTCCACTCATTATATATCGAAGACATATATATAACTATGTCCACCCAAAAACTTATACATACATGTTCATAGAACCATTATTCACAATAGCCCAAAAGTAGAAATAACCCATATGTCCATGAACTGATGAATGCATAAAGAAAATATGGTATGGCCACATAACAGAATACAGCATTGTACTATTTAACATTTTGGTCAACAACAGACTGCATAAAGTTTGGAAAGTGGTCCCATAAGTTTGTAATACCATATTTTTACTGTACTTTTTCTGTTTTGATACACAAACACACACCACTATTTTATAACTGCCTGAAGTATTCGGTACAATAACATGCTGTACAGGTTTGTAGCCTAGGGGCAACAGGCTATCCCATATAGCCTAGGTGTGTCGTAGGCTATGCCCTCTAGGTGTCTCTAAGTACACTCTGTGACGTTCACATGAGTAAAAAATTGCGGCCGGGCGTGGTAGCTCACACCTGTAATCCCAGCACTTTGGGAGGCCAAGGAGGGCAGATCATGAGGTCAGGAGATCGAGATCATCCTGGCCAACATGGTGAAACCCCATCTCTACTAAAAATACAAAAATTAGTTGGGCATGGTGGTGCGTGCCTGTAATCCCAACTACTCAGGAGGCTGAGGCAGGAGAATCACTTGAACCAGGGAGTCGGAGGTTCTGGTGAGCTGAGATCGCGCCATTGCACTCCAGCTTGGCAACAGAGCACAACTCCGTCTCAAAAAAAAAAAAAACAACAAAAACTGCCTAACAATGCAATTCTTGGAACATATCCCCATTGTTAAGTGCTGCAGGACTGCATTATTCAATCATAAAAAGGAATGAAGTACCACTGGTTCATGCTACAATATGCCTTAAAAACATGCTAAAAGAAATTACTCAAAAAATACCGTATATGAGATGATTCCACTTATATGAAATGTCCAGAATAGGCAAATCTATAAAAGCAGAAAATAGACTGGTGGTTGCCTAGAGCGGGGATGGTAGAGAATGGGGAGTCACTGCTAAGGGCCATGGGATTTCTTTTTTGGGTGATAAAAATGGTCTAAAATTAACTGTTATGATGGTTACCCAACTATGGGACTACATTAAACAATGGGTGAATTCTATAATTGTGAAATTATATCTCAATAAAGCAGTTTTTTTTTTAAAAAGGTCAGCAGGAATCTAGCCACGATAATCTTTCTCAGTTCTGAACTCCACATTCTACATAGTACCTGGCACTGCTAAATACCCTTCTTTGTGAGATCTTTCTGCTGTCTGTGAAACTCTATTTCCTAAGTCTCCATGCAACAGACTGCTCTTGACACTGCCTCGTTCTATCCTCGCTCTACCTCCCCACACCCTGGTCCCATTAATGACCCAAAAGTTCTGTTTTTGCCATCTTCTCTTTCCATGCCATCCCACTAACAATGTCTTAGCTTCAGTTCACACTCCACTCCCACAACCCCAGCCCCAAATCTAGTTCTGATCCCTTTATGACCTATAGGCTATCTTTCAGAAACACTTATGAAAATCTATTTCTCAAATTCAACTCATAAAAGTAGTACTGTCCATTTACTGAGAACTTATTAGGTGCAAAGTCCTGGGCTAAACACTTTAGTCTCACTGAATCCTCCCAACAACTCTATAAAGTAGTTTAATCTGTTTTACACATGAAGAAACTGAATCTTAAAAAAAGTTAGTGCTAATTTATATTCTTGACAATTAGATAACATTTTTCTTTTTAACTCATCAGCTTCTCTACTAATCTGCTTCTCTTCCTATGTACCTCTTTTCTATTAATAATTATCATTGTAATATAAGTTTAAAAGCTTATATTTGATTATTTCTTCTCTTACCCCTCACATTCCATGCTTGCCAAGTTTGGTCAGTTCTATCTAGTGTCTATTCTTATTGCCATTGTGATAACTTAGAAGACATTCTCAAGACAATACCAATCTCTTGACACTGAAAAATACTGTAAAGTTTTAAACTCAAATCTCGTTCATATATTTAAAGTTAGAAATCTAAACATTATGAGCTGTTTGACATTTAATGAAACTGGCTTTTAATATACATATCTTATAAACCTAATGAAACCTCACTTCATCTTGTAAAAGATTTTTTTTTAAGATTCTTTTTGCTTTACAGGCTTACCTTTGGCTGGATCACCCAGAGTGGTAACAGCACTGCTGCCAACACGGAGTCCACGCTGACATACCAATTTTGCCTTTAAACAAAAGATTACTTTGCTTCAGTCTTTGAAGTAGCAATGAAATAATGCTATAATCTGTAAGTGGTTTTTTTTTGTTTTTTTTCTTTTTTAGTTTTTTTTTTTATAATACGATAGAGACAGGGTCTCACTATGTTTCCCAGGCTGATCTCAAACTCCGGGGCTCAAGCAATCCTCCTACCTCAGCCTCCCATAACGCTGGGATTACAGGTATGAGGCACAACTGCATCTGGCCTAATCTATAAGCTTTAAAATAAATAGTCTGCTCATTGTAGGTACTCAGGGCACAAAGAAAACTTATTCAAAGCAATCTGTATTTTGATTAATGGCCCAAAATTTTCACAGAATTTTACCGTTTCAATTAACAAAAATGTCAGCAAAACCAAATTAAGCAGGGTCACAGGTAAGTCCACTAGAAGACTTATTTTCCAACTACAGCTTTAGAACCATGAAATTTCAAAATGTCTTATTGCCAAATGTTATTTTTAGTAAGAACCCAGAGCATCCTATTTGAATTCAGATGATTAAGTTAAAAAGGGATAAACTCTTCTGATATTACTATATAGTCCTTATTATATGTTAGTGCTAATTATCTGCTAAACAAATCTGCCCCCCTTCTTTATAGACCATTAACCTAATGGAAGCACTAACTTTGAATTATTTTAGATCTCTGGTATTATTTAAAATGTATCTAGGAAACCACACATATCTTTGGAGACCTACCCTGTACACGGTCCTTTCCTTCTCCCATAATTTAGGTACAGGCAACAATACAGATTTCAGTCTTCAAATATTGAATGAAGGAATTTCAGTTAACCAGGATGCCAAAGTTTATTAAGTTACATGATTTATCTCCCAAATCATGTAATTTAAACCAGAAAAATATCCACAAGAAACAAAGTATCTATTAAACGATGATCCAGAACGGAAAAATATCCCTTCAATCTATTAAACGGCATTATTGACACTAAAGAAACCCGTTTTAATCCAAATTGCACCCTAAGCTTACAAATGTATTTAAGATGAAACTTAAATACGTTTAATCTCTTAAATGTATTTAAGAGAAACCATGAAAAGTTGTAGAAATCAAATCAAATCTCCTTCATGACTGGCTTTTACTGCTGTCATTCACATGCCACCAAACTAAGTAACAAAAAACACTGATGATTTGGTAATCTTACAACTCTTACAGAACGGAAGCACCACAATATTTAAGACTAATGATGCCATTAATTTTCTACAACCTAATTCCCTTACCTCCTTTTCAGTATCAAACAGAAGAAACCCGTAAGTGTCTTGAAGTTCTTCCTGAGTATAGTTACTTGCTTTTTTTTGTCGGTAAAAAGTTTTGTACTGTGTAAAGAGAGAATAACCAAATGCTATAAACTTACTATTTTGTCCTGCAAATTAATTTTTAAAATGCATCATTTAAATTCCTCCTGCTATAAGACTAAACATAAACGCATTCTTTTTCTATTCCGTAGCATTACCTTCCAAGTGGCTATTTCCAAGGATCTTCTTCGTCTGAAAAATGATAGCTAAAAAGTGCTAGATTTATATACCAAAAATGATGGGTTTACCTCTTTTAAAACTAAAACAAAACCACCACAGTATGTACCAAGCACCTCACCTCATTTAAGAAAATGTCATTTTTCACCAAAGTCACTTGACTGTACTGAAAACCATGCTCAGATGAAGAGTCCAAGTAAGATGTATGGAGGAGTGAAACTGCCCTCTGGAAGAGAGAGTCTGAACTCAAGGACACTGTCTCAAAAACTGTAAAACACAAACAAACATAACACAGCTATTTCAGATACCAAAGGATGGGGTTACGTGGGACACACTGAATATCACTCAAAACATCATCTATTCCTTCCCTATATAACTAAGAAATATTTGTACTGTCTTAGCAAAATAACCTAAATAAATTACAACTGAGGCTGAATTACTTTTAATACAGGAGCTAAAATATGCCCTGCCAGACCCTGTATGTCTTTCGGTTGAAAGCCGTGTACTATAACTGTAGTTGGTCAAAAGCAGATACAACTGTAGTGTCAAAGTGGTGGTCAGGAACTGCTTAGACTTTTAGAGCAATTTCTCATTCTTTAGTTTTTTTTTAATCCTCCATTTCTATTCTTCTTCTTCTTCTTCTTCTTTTTTTAAATATATATGCCACGCTTGATAAACTTACCCTTTACATATTTTCATTAAATCCCTAAGTCAGTTGGGTTCCTTTTAAGGGACCTATTATTGCCCAGTCACCAAACACAATAGAAATCACTGTATCTCTGGGATTTCCTCACCAGCCAAGAAGAGTCTACTGAGTTTTACTTCCTGTGAGTTGTGATTATAAAATCACTTTCATTTTATACAACAGAGCTGTATTTACAATTTTTTGAAGGTGCTTTTTTCAAACCACACCCATGTGAGATAGTGCTGAGAGACTGTGATACACCTTCCCATGAGAGGCATGTTTTCTAATTGAGAATTACCAACTGGATCCAGTAATTATGCTGACTGACTCTTTGTGCCTTTTGATTTTACAAGTCTCTACTTTAGCAAGAACTGAGCCTAATGACCTAAGAACACTCTCGCATCTAACCATTTTAACTGTTCACTCTCCTATTTGTATTCTTTCTATTCTCTTTATTAGGGTTGGGGGGTTTTACAAACCCAGTATTTACAAATAATAAGGAGAAGAGAATGATTTATACAGCACTGGAAGTATTGGTCATATAGTATAAATGTTATGAAGTACAGTAATATGGCTTCCTACTTTTACCAAAACTCCCAAATGTATTAAAGTTCAAAAAGTAAAGAGAAAAAAGAATCTCAATCAAAATTAACTTATAAGTAACCGATATACAAAAATTAGACTATCTCAGAAATGAAAGCAAACATTTTAGTAAGCTAAATTTGGACTAAACTGTCCTAATACTTTAATTATCAAGATATTTTAAAATATTTTAATAAACTTCCAAGTATCAAAATGAAAGACTGTAAATAGAAAAGAATGAAATGTTTATGAATACTCTGAGGTTGATATACATGATTTATATATTCATTCTAAGTTTACTTTTACTTTTGCTCAGTTTCACTTTCTCCTTCAATATACCAGTGCTGTAAAAAATAAGGACATTCTGAATAGATGCAAATAGCAAAACATCAGTTACAATAATTAAAATTAAAGCTTTATTAGCTACATTACTCAAAGCAAACTGGCAAGCCTGAGCATTTTCAAATTCATTTTACAAATAATCTGTACTGCTAGCCTAAACACAAATCAAGAATTCTTTAGAAACAATAATTTTGGAAACTTTATATTTGATGTTTATAAAAAAGCAAGAAATTTTCGAAATTGAATTATCTATAGACCAAGATCCAATATGTGAGAAACATATCGTTTACACTGAAAGAAATGTTTTAAAAAGTAACTCTGGAAATGAAGACTATGATTATCAACTTCTCTAAATTCTATAAGTCATTAATAGGTAGGCACAGGCCGGGCGCGGTGGCTCAAGCCTGTAATCCCAGCACTTTGGGAGGCCGAGACGGGTGGATCACAAGGTCAAGAGATCGAGACCATCCTGGTAACACAGGTGAAAACCCGTCTCTACGAAAAAATACAAAAAAACTAGCCGGGCGAGGGTGGGGGCGCCTGTTAGTCCCCAGCTACTTTGGGAGCTGGAGCAGGAGAATGCCTGAAACGAGGCGGAGGCGGAGCTTGCAGGAGCTGAGATCCCGCCACTGCACTCCAGCCTGGGGCGACAGAGTGAGACTCCGTCTAAAAAAAAAAAAAAAAAAAAAAAAAAAATAGGTAGGCACAGATTTAAGTTATATACATCCTCATTTTTTAGCATCATAACGCACAATAACGAACTGAAAACTGGAAAGATGGTGCAATTAAAAACACTAACATAGGGTTTCCCAAATACATGGTCACAGAACACTTCATTAATACCAGTGTGGGGAATACTGTTCCCTATAAAGCTTCAAATAAAGCCAATGATTTAAAACGAAGGAGGAGGAACAAGTACCAAATTATTTTTTGCTTATATATTTTTATTTCCAGAACTATTTATTTATGGTTAAAAATGCTTCCACTTTAGGCCTGTATTCTCCAAATAGGAGTATATGCATAAAAGCAGTGATTTTATGGTTAGTGGAGGTATGTTAAAAGCAAAGTTGTTGGAAAATCATAGCTAATCTTAACTCTTTCATGGGTTCATAAAGACATCAATTACACTCTCAAGAAACCACAAGTTTCCTCTCAGCAAATGAGAAAATAGACGAAAATTTCATCTAGAAATTTGATGCTCTCCCTTCTTTACAAAATACACTTTTGAGAGTCCAATTAGTGCACTAGACAATACAAACACTTTATGAACGAATGGTCTCGTTTTTGCTGAGTAATGCTCAAGCTTTATTTAAACATTCAAGACTACCAGACTTTTAAAATGAAGAGGGGGCTATACCACAAAGACACCTAAAAATCTAAAAAGGTAACTTGAAAAGTGCTTGCCTATAAAGTATTAAGTATATCCCTTAGGGCTTAAGTGATGAATAAAGAGCATGTAAGAAAGGTTAAGTTCAATCACAATAGCTCTGAAAATTGAGTTTTCCTCTAGTACCTGGATTTTGGCACATTCCTCCATTTGTGAGTTTAGTCTTAAATGTTAAGTCTAAGCTTGATATAGGTTGGATTCTAGTCAAAGTAACTGCAATAACCTCTTCCCCTTCTCAAAATCCCTTAGAGATACTGAGTGAGACTGGTTTTAGACACTTGTCTCTCTTTTTAACTCCTAATAGAGATGAGAAAATTATAAACCAACTTCTGATGCCATATCACAGATAACTGTCTTCCATTCTAGAAACATCTGGTCTGAAAGTAGACGATGAAATAAACTAATGTCAACATCTTAGGTGTCACAGAAATTCTAAAACAACTAGCTCTTGTACATCTCCCCATGACTTTCCTGACTACATCTTCCTATAGAAGGGTTGCAACCCTTCATTAATACTAAAGATGCCTATATCCTTCATTTAGTCGAAGTAAGCCATTTGATAGTTGCTGAAGGAACAGATTGTTACTTAATCCTAAAATGTATTACTTCTACTTTGAAGATATTAAAGGATATCTGGGTTTAGATAAATGTAACTTCTTAGAGCACAATTTGGTAGGACTTATATAAAACCTTAAATACACATACTCATTAACCATTTCATTTCTAGGAATCTATTCCTGAAAATACTCAGACACACACACACACCCACACACCCTCCCCCCCCCCACACACAAAAAGGTGTTCCATGTGTATCAGTATCTTTAATAGTGAAAATACTGGCAATAACCTTAATTGCCATCAACAGGGAACAACTTGCAACTACTAAATAAAAACAAGGTAAATCTGTACATACTGGCATATAAAGATATCTATTATATGCTACATTATATGATGACATTTGGTTGAAAAATATATAATTTGTTTGAAAGTATACATAAAAAGATCTAGAAAGGTGGGAAGCCAAACTCTTAATAATGGCTAAAGCAATGGCTGTTGAAATTGGAAAGTGGATACAAGGGGAACTTACATTTTTTAACCTTATACATACGGGTTTTTCTTGCATGTATTACTTCTACCATTTAAAATATTTCAATTCAAAAACCAAATAAAAATGCAACAATTTAAAAGATACAAATAGAGGAACATACATGTTTTATGTTGCAATTTGAAAAGTTAATCACGGCCGGGCGCGGTGGCTCAAGCCTGTAATCCCAGCACTTTGGGAGGCCGAGACGGGCGAATCACGAGGTCAGGAGATCAAGACCATCCTGGCTAACACGGTGAAACCCCGTCTCTACTAAAAAATACAAAAAACTAGCCGGGCGAGGTGGCAGGCGCCTGTAGTCCCAGCTACTCGGGAGGCTGAGGCAGGAGAATGGCGTAAACTCGGGCGGCGGAGCTTGCAGTGAGCTGAGATCCGGCCACTGCACTCCTGCTTGGGCGACAGAGCGAGACTCCGTCTCAAAAAAAAAAAAAAAAAAAAAAAAAAAGAAAAGTTAATCACCTATTACTTTTGGACTAATGATTGTTTTAAAAAATATAGGTACTGGAAATCATAATTTTTTAAAGTCTTTGTTTTACATGATCTAAATTAAAACTAAAAACATTTTAATCATTCTATTCTAGATTCATTAATTATGACTTATAGCACTTAGTTTAATACTCACTCTTTTCTGATAGGGACCCTGTCTCGATCTTCTCTGAGAGAGAATGTAGCTGGGAGGGTGGTCTTAATTCATTTTCACCAAGTATACCCTCAGAATTCTTGACACAGTCCTGTTCTCTGTTAATGTCATAAATGCTAACATGAAGAAAGAAAAAAAAATCATAAAGTGAACAATTCTATTTATAGCATACTTACTATACAAACAAATGTTCACCGAGTATCTAATTTGCGTTAGGAATAATTATGTAACATTTATTTATCTCCTTTGACAAGTATTCTCAGCGAAGGACTAAATTTGTTCTATAAGCAATAACATACAATTTGAAATGTTTTTCCTCCAAAAGTCTTTAACTTCTAAATAAAATTTTATACACACAAATACATTATGCTTAATCACTTTTGCCTTACTGAAAAAAAATCTTTCAAAATGAATAGATCACAGAATCACATCTTTATTTCATTAGTTGAAAATAACAAAATCAAGCAGAACACAATTTACAAAAATCTCTCTCCTCCCCCAGATTAGTAGTATATATATTCATTAAACAAAACTATTAGTGGTGACTATTATGCATCCAACACCATGCTATACCTTGGATTTATCAAGACAAATGACAAACAGTCTCTATTACAGAGAAACAGGCCCTATATTAGAAGAGTTCAGATGAGGCTGGGCGCAGTGGCTCATGCCTGTAATCCCAGCATGCTGGAAAGCCAAGGCAGGCAGATTGAGCTCAGGAGCTTGAACCAGGGCAACAAAGTGAGACCCCACCCCTATAAAAAATACAAAAATTAGCCAGGCATGGTGGAGTGTACCTGTAGTCCCAGCTACTTGGGAGGCTGAGGTGGGACAATGGCTTGAGTCTGGGGGGAAGAGGTTACAGTGAGCTGAGACTGCACCCCTGCACTCCAGCCTGGGTGACAGAGCCAGACCATGTCAGAAAGAGAGAAAAGAGAGGAAAGGGAGGAAGGGAAAGAAAGGAAGGAAAGGAAGGAAGGGAGGAAGGAAGAGACAGAGAAAGAGAGAAAGGGGAGAGAGAGGGGGAGAGAGAGGGGGAGAGGGAGAGAGAGAGGGAGGGGGAGAGGCAGAGAGACAGAAACAGAGCAAGCTCAGACTAGATGAAGAAGAAAAATCTGCAAAGAAATTCTAAATGTGTAGAAGTCTCTAAAACATGATACAGTGGATGTACACTGATATAACCAATTTTAGGGAGACGGAGCTATGTCAAGAAAGATTTCATGAAGGTATAGATACTTGAAATCTGAGAAGATATTCAAATGAGGAAGCCAAAAAAGGAAATTGTGTACATTTTCCAGATAGTAGAAATAGTATGAGCAAATGAACAGATGTATAAACATGATACATTAAAGGAACTGCAAATAGTTTAATATGACTGACTAAGGGAAGAAGGGTGAGAAGAATAAGAACAAAGAAAAAGATTAAAAAGGTGGTCAAGTTTTCAGTTTTTATCATGAGTCTGTGGAATAAGGATTTTAACATGCTTCACAAAAATAGCATGTATAGTTTTACAGCACATTTTTCCCCCAAAAAGAACTGGAGGTAGAATTGTGTGGATACATTCAAGATTTTTTAGGAAAAGTAGCTTTGTTGATAAAATTTCATGAAGGAGGTTGTTTATGTAGGGGAAAATTAGGAACTGGGAGACCAGGATTCTGGTGCAGGTTCTACTACTAACGTGTTTTGAGACAGTGGTTGAAGATATAGTGGACTGACTTCCCTACAATCGTGTCCCTTTTACTCCCCTTCCACAAAACCACAATTCTGTTCAGGTATCAGGAGATCCCGTGGTTCAGAAGTTGTTTAGGGGTGTGTGTGCGTGTGTGTGTGTGTGTGTGTGTGTGTGAAAATGAGTGAGGGAGAGAGTGTGTGTGTGTGTGGGGAGAGAGAGAGAGAGAGAAAGAGAAAGAGAGAAAGAGAACGAGAGAAAGAGAATGAAAATCTTAATTACTCTAAGATCTTTATGGTAATTCCACTCCCTTTGAATAGTGTTTGTTTTAGGAATAAACATGTGACTCAGTTCTGGCCAGTGAGAGATAAATAGAAGTCTACAGAGGGAGTTCTGGGAAACTTTTCTTAGAAAAGGACTCCATCTTCTAGCCTAAGATCTTGTCTGAAGACATGTTGCCTGGATCTCCTTGCAACCAAGATGGGATTGATCGGCCAACAGAGAATGGAACAGAACAGAAAGAAACCAGATCCTTGAACTGATGAAATAAACTAACCTGGGGGCTGCCTTATCTTTGGGCTTTATACATGAAATAACAAATGTTCCTTATTGTTTAAACTTTTATTGGAAGCTGAAGACACACTAACTGATGGATTTTGTTAAATTTATACTCTCTAAGGCCTCCTTTAGTTATAATTGCCTTTCTAAAGCTCCTTTCAGTTGTGACTCTACAAGGAGCTTTACTGAAGGCTTGCTGTGCATGAGGCATGTTGCACTGGCATCAGATAACTTAGCAAAGTACTTTTTTCTTTGTTGCCATGGATAAAGAAGTTATCCTGAGTTAGCAAGGAAGTTATTGTTATTAATGATAACAATGGCTAACATTCACTGGGTGCTTACTGTTTTTTTTTTTTTTGAGATGGAGTCTTGCTCTGTGGCCCAGGCTGGAGTGCAAGTGGCTCAATTCTGGTTCACTGCAACCTCCACCTCCCGGGTTCAAGCAACTCTCTTGCCTTGGCCTCCCGCATAGCCGTGATTACAAGTGCCCAGCACCACGCCTGGCTAATTTTTGTATTTTTAGTAGAGATAGGGTTGCACCAGGTTGGCCAGGTTGGTCTCGAACTCCTGGCCTCAAGTGATCGCCATACCTGGGCCTCCCAAAGTGCTGGAATTACAGGCATGAGCCACCGTGCTAGGCCTAGGTTTCACTACTTAACTGCATGTATTAATCACTGCTGAGCCATACTGTGTAGTCAAGTTCCTTTCTTACACCATGTTTTGCTTTTCTGAATTTAAAGTAGCCTCTGCTTAAATTTCAGTTACCAATCATTTCAGCTTGAAATTCTAGAGAACTAACAATAACTTCTGGATAAACATAGATCAAAGATTTTGTTCATTTTGAGCAGTTTCTTATCTTTTTTTTGGAAGGATCCTTTCTGGAGCACTATGCCTTCCAGCTTCAGTCTGGGCTTGTGCCCTCTGATATTACTGCCTGGCTTTCTAACTTTGCTGGGGGATGTTAAGATACAAAATTGATCTACAGATTCAACACAATCTCAGTCTGCAGAAACTGATGATCTGATTCTAAAATGTATGTAAGAAAGACATAAGCCAAAACAATTTTGAAAAAGAAGAACGAAGTTGAAGGACTCACTACTTGATTTTAAGAATCACTACAAAGCTAAAGTAGTCAAGACAAGGTGGTACTGATATAAAGAAAATGCATATAGAGCAATGGGACAGAAGAGAGTCCAGATAACAGATATTTAATATTACCAGTATAATTCCATCGAGAAAGAATATCTTTACAATAAATGCTGCTATGGAACAACTAAAATAGGGGGAAAAACATGAACCTCAAACCTCTACCTTAAACCATAAAATTTAACTCAAAATGAATTACAGATCTAAACATAAAAACTATAACTATTTGGCTAAAATTATAAAATTTAAAAAACCATAGGGAAACATTTTCTTGACTATGGGGTACATAAAGTTTTCATAGGGCACAAAATTAGTGACCTAGAAAAACGTATACATCAGACTTCCTAAAAATTAAAACCATCTGATCTTCCAAGGTATCATTATTAAGAAATGGGAAATATTTGCAAAGCACCTGTACCTAGAATATATAAAAAACTCATAGACACATTTCACAAAAGAAAGCATATAATAAAAGGAAACATGGGAAATGGGTTAACATTATTAGTTATCAGGGAAGTGCTAATTAAAACCATAATAAAATACTACCGCTCCAGCAGAATGGCTAAAAAGACTGAAAATACCAAGCATTGGCAAAGATGAGGAGCCTCTGGAACGCTCCTAGTAGAAATATAAAGCCAACTGAAAAATTATATAGCCAATTGAAAAAATAACATCAGTTTCTTATAAACACACACTTACCATATGACCCAACTATTCTATTCCCAGATATTTACCCAAGAGAATAAAACATATCTACAAAAACACTTGCACATGAATGTTCAAGAGCAGCTTTTTCACAGTAGCCTAAAACTGGAAACAACTCCAATATTCATAAATAGGTGAATGGATAAACAAACTTGTATATTCACACATAATAATAATCAGCAATAAAAACAGTAAAACTGATGCATGCATCTCAAAACATTAAACTGGGCAAAAGTTGTCAGACACAAAAGAGTACATATTGTAGAATTCCATACATATGCAGTTCAAGAAGCAGCAAAATTAATCTATGGTGATAAAAAGCGTTTCATTAGTTGCCTACAGTAGGGGGCAGGAATAGGAAAATTGACTGCAAGTTGGGTAAGCACAAGGGAACTTTCTGCGGTGATGGACACACACTATATTTTTATTGGTGTAGTCATCACATGGTACATACGTTTACCAAAATTCACTGAACTATATACTTAAATTGCGTTCATTTTATTGTATGAAAATTAGACCTCAATAAAGTTGAGCTGAAAGTCCCAAAACAAAACCCAACGGTTATGACTTTGGCCATAAAGGAAATTCCCAGAGTACTAAAAAACAACTGATCTCTGACCAAAGTCAAGTAAAATGACAGTGTAACCATAAAAAGTTAATTTCAAAAGCCCCACGTTTGGAAATTTAAATTTTAAAAATCCTACACACAAATAGTTCATAAGTTAAAGAGTAACATGATCTAAGCTTAAGATATTATCTAAAATATCTATAAGAAAACTGTTCGTTTCAAACGTATACATTACAGAAGAAAAACATTTTTAAAATCAACAAGCTAGAGTCAATTCAAGAACTCAGAAAATGGAACAACACAGTAAACCCAAAGCAAATAAGAGGAGGAAATAAAAAGAGAAGATCAGATACTATTAAATAAGTGGTAGAGTTAATTGTTATAGGTATATAAGTTTCAAGCCCAGAAGTTTTCCCACATAAACATTATTCACAAGAATGAAAACTTTCTCTTTTTTTTTTTTTGAGATGGAGTCTCACTCTGTCACCTAGGCTGGAATGCAGTGGTGCAATCTCGGCTACTGAAACTTTCGCCTCCCAGGTTCAAGTGATTCTTCTGCCTCAGCCTCCGAGTAAGTGGGATGGGATTACAGGCGCCCACCACGAGGCTCAGCTAATTTTTGTATTTTTAGTAGAGATAGGGTTTCACCATCTTGGCCAGGGTGGTCTCAAACTCCTGACCTCAGGTGGATCCACCCACCTAGGCCTCCCATAGTGCTGGGATTACAGGCGTGAGCCACTGCACCTGGCCAAGAATGAAAACTTTCTCAAATTATAAGTCTAGCACAACCTTGAATGAAAACCCAGAAAGGAACAACTACAAAAGAAAATTTTAAGGTAAGATCACCAATGACAATACATGCAAAAAAAATCTTAAATAAAAACCAGAAAAACCTCAACTAGCAATACATATAAAATATAAAACAACGTGATTGAGGTAAAGCTTATGGCAGGAATTCAAGGAAGGAAGGTGTAATATTAGACAATTTATTCATAAAATTAATCATACTGAGAGATTAAAGAAAAACCTGTGCCTTACTAGATATAAAATTCAACAGCCACTCGTGATTAAAAAGATAATTCATAGTAAACAGACTACCTGTAAGCAGATATCTAGAAAGCAGCCTACATATATAATGGTGAGACATTAAAGTACTCCCTTTAAAATTAGGAAGACAATGATCCCTAATATTATCTTCTAATTATTGAGAATTTAGCAGTTCATTCCTTTGCTGAAGTTTCCTTTTTCATTTACTGATTAGCTGGTATCTGTCTTTTAGTTGTTTCCTTAAGAAAGGTTCATATAAAAAGATGTAAAACTCTGAATATTTAAAACTACCAGCCAGTATGTAGTCTTTATACCCAAAAGACACCTTGGCAGGACAAAAAAATATTTGGCTCACATGTTCTTTGAGTAGCTGACATGTAGTTCTTCTACTATTTTCTGGTATTGAATGTTTCTGTTATTCTGCACCAATCTGATTTTCATTATATGATCTTTTGCCAGTTCAAATTTTTTATCAGAATCTGTCTCAACGTTGGGCCAGTTTTCCCTGGAGTATGTGTGTCTTTTCAACAGATTTAAGTCTTGTAAGGAAAAAAAAAACACCTTGAATTATACTTTAAGATACGTATTCTATGGAATTGGTTTTCTTTTTGGGGGCTCCAGTTTTGTCCATTTTGGATCTCTTTTGGCTGTCTTATCTATCCTTACTTACCAAAAAAAAAAACCATTTTAGTAATGAGATCAAAGCTATAATAAAAACTCTCCCATTAAAGAAAAGCCCAAGACCTTATAGCTTCACTGCTGGATTCTACCAAACATTTAAAGAGGAACTAATATAAATTTCTATTCAAACTTTTCAAAAAATTGAAGAGGAGGGAATATTTCCAAACTAATTCTACAAGGTCAACATTACTGATACTAAAACCAGAGGAGACAATGAAAAGAGAAAACTACAGGCCAATATCATAGATAAACATAGATGCAAAAATTCTCAATATACTAGTAAATCAAATTTAAAAACACAGTAAAAAGATATTTGCCATGATCAAGTGGGATTCATCCCAGGGATGCAAGGATGGTACAACATGTGCAAATCAATAAATGTGATATATTAACAGAACTAAGAACAAAAACCATGTGATTACTTCAACAGATGCTGAAAACGCATTTAATAAAATTCAACATCTGTTTATGACTAAAAAACAAAAAGCTCTCATCAAACTACACATGGAAGGAACATATCTCAAAGTAATAAAGGCCACATATGACAAACCAATAGCAAACATCATCCTGAACAAGGAACAACTGAAAGCCCTTCCTCTAAGATATGGAACAACACAAGGATGCCTACTTTCACCACTTTTATTCAATACAGTACTGAAGTACTGGGCAGAGAAATTAGACAAGAGAAAGAAACAGAGGGCATCCAAATCAGAAAAGAGGTCAAATGAGCCTGTTCACAGATAACATGATCTTATACTTAGAAAAACCTGGACTCCACCAAAAAAAATTGTTAGAACTGATAAACAAATTTAGTAAAGTTGCAGGATACAAAATCAACATACAAAAATCAGTAGCGTTGATATACACCAACAGCAAACAATCTGAAAAAGAAATAAGGAAAGCAATCCCATTTACAATAGCTACAAAGAATATAACATACCTAAGAATCAATTTAGCCAAAGAGGTGAAAGATCTATACAAGAAAAACTATAAAACAATGATGAAAGAAATTGAAGTGGACATTACAAAACAGAAAGATACTTTATGCTCATGGACTAGAAGAACTCATATTGTTGAATACTACCCAAAGTCAATTTACAGTTTCAATGCAATGAACCCCTATCAAAATTCCAGGGACATTCTGCACAGAAATAGAAATCAAATCCTAAAATTTATATGGAACCACAAAACATCCCGAACAGCCAAACCAATACTGAGCAAAAACAACAAAGCTGGAGGCATCACACAGCCTGACTTCAAAATTTACTACAAAGCTACAGCACTGGCATAAAAACAGAAACATAGACCAGTGGAACAGAACAGGGAACCCAGGCGTAAATCCATGTAGAGCCAACTCATCGTCGACAAAGGAACTAAAACATACAATGGGAAAAGGACAGTCTCTGATAAACGGTGGTGGGAAAACTGGATAACTATATGCAGAAGAATGAAACAATCTTACCATACACAAAATTCAAAATGGATTAAAGACCTATATCTAAGCATCTAAGACCCAAAACTATGAAACTACTAGAAGAAAACACTGGGAAAACGCTCCAGGACACTGGTCTGGGCAAAGTTTTTTTGTTTAAGGCCTCAAAAGCACAGGCAACCAAAGCAAAAATAGACAAATGGGATTACATCAAGCTAAAAAAAGCTGCACAGCAAAGGAAACAATGAAGTACAGAGACAACCCACAGAATGGGAGAAAATATTTGCAAACTACTCACCCGCCAAAAGATTAACAACCAGAATTTATAAGGAGCTCAAACAACTCAACAGCAAGGAAGCAAGGAAACACACCCCCACTCCCACCACAAATAACCCAATTAAAAAACAGGCAAAAGTTCTGAATAAGCATTTTTCAAAAGAAGACATGAAAGTGGCCAAGAGGTATATGAAAAAATCCTCAACATCAGGAATTATCAGAGAAATGCAAATCAAAACTATGAGACATTATCTTGCCCCAGTTAAAATGGCTTTTATTAAAAGGACAAGCAATAATGAATGCTGGCAAAGATATGGAGAAGGGGGAATCCTTACACACTGCCGGTAGAAATGTAAGTTAGTACAGCCACTATGGAAAACAGTATAGAGCTTTCTCAAAAAAATAAAAACAGAACTACCATATGATCCAGCAATTACACTACTGGGTATATATCCAAAAGAAAGAAAATCAACACATCAAAAAGACATCTGCACTCCCATATTTATTGCAGCACTATTCACAACAGCCAAAATATAAAATCAACGTCAGTGTCCATCAATAGATGAATAAAGAAAATGTAGTATACACAATGCAGTATTATTCAGCTATAAAAAAGAATAAAATCCTGCCATTTTCAGCAACACTGATCATTATGTTAAATGAAATAAGCCAAGCACACAAAGACAAATATCACACACTCTCACTCATGTGTGGAAGCTAAAAAAGTGGCTTTTATGAAAACAGAGAGTAGATTTGGTGGTTATCAGAGGCTGGAAAGGGTAGGAGGAAGGAAGGAATAAAGAGAAGTTGATTAATGTATATAAACATATGGTTTGATAAAAGTAAGACATAATGTTGATCAGTAGGTTGACTACAGTTTACAATCTATTATATATTTCAAAATGACTAAAAGAATTTGAGTGGTTCTAGCACAAAGAAGAGAGAAATATTTAAGGTGACAGATATCCCAACTACACTGACTTGATCTTTACAAATTATATGAATGTATTATTACATGTATCCTAAAACTATGTACATCTACTATGCATCAATAAAAATAAATGTATACCTATTTTACTCACTTTTCTCATGTCTATCTTTTGTTTTGTTTCTTTGCATTATCAAAATTGTGGTAAAATATACTTACCAAAAATATTTCATTTCCACTTTTATGATCTTTGCCATGGTGTTTCGTCTACCTTGGGTACTTCTGAAATGGCTTGATCATTTTTCTCTATTTCTTTTTTTTTGCTGGTTCCCGTTTCACATCCTACTGTTGTCTGGCTGTCTCTTCCTTGAGTTCTTGTATTTTCTGCTTTCCAGTATTTCTCCATAACTTCTATGCTTCATTCATTTTACTTTCTAATACAATGTTGAGATATAATTCATATAGCATAAAATTCACCCACATAAAGTGTACAATTCAATTGCTTTTAGTATACTCACAGAATTGTGCAACCTTCACCACAATCAATTTTAGAGTATGTTCATTATCCCCAAAGAAACCTTCTACCCCTTAGCTATCCTCCTCACCCCTCACTGGTTCCTAGGCCTAGGCAAACATAATTTACTGTCTCTACAGATCTGCCTATTCCAGACCATTTCTTATAAACAGAGTCATACAGTATGTGGTCCTTCATGATTGCCTTCTTTCACTTAGCCTGTTTTTGAGGTTCATCCATGTTAAAGCATATATCAATATTTCATACCTTTTTATGCCAAATAATATTCCACTCTGTGGATATACCACATTTTGTTTATCCATCAACTGATGGACATTTGGGTTGTTTCTACATTTTGGCTATTATGAATGCTGCTGCTATGAGCATTCATGTATAAGTTTTTATGTGAACATGTTTTCATTTCTCTTAGGTATATACTTTAGAGTAGAACTGCTTGCTCTTCCAGTAAATCTGTGTCTGCTCATCTGAGAAACTGCCAGGCTGATTTCAAAGTGGCTGCACCATTTTATATTTCCACCAGTAGTATACAGAAGTTTCCAATTTGTCCACAGCATTGTCAACACTTATTATCTGTCTTTTTGATTATCGCTATCTTAATGGGCATGATAAGTATATAAAGGTATTTTAAAATTTGTATTAAAACCTTAGGTCACATTTTCCATAAGGTCAGCAAACTTTTTCATAAAGGGTCAGAAAATAAATATTTTAGGATTATGAACCACACGGTCTCTGTCACAACTACTCATCTCTACCAGTAGAGCATAAAAACAGCCATAGAAAGTGCATAAATGGGAATGACCATGTCCCTGTACAACTTTATTTACAAAAACAGGCAAGACCACAGGCAGTAGCTTGACCACTTGTGATTTATTTTCTGGCAATATTGTTTTGAAAAACACCATCTGTAGAAAATTGTGGTTTTTCTTTCTCTTTTTAAATTTTTAATCATATAACTATTCAGTTAACTATTATTAACAGGCCATCCTAAAGTTCAGTGGCTTACAACCACAATCATTTTTTTATCACTCACATCTCTACAGTGTTCACTGAATTCAGCTTAACTCAGCTGGGGTGGCCCTCACTCTCCTATCTCTCATCTTCCCTCAACCAATGAGCTAGGAGAGACATGCTTTTCTCATGGAAACGGCACAGATAGAAAGAGAACAAATAAAAATACCCAAGGCCTGGTAAGGCTTAGGCTTGAAACTGACATGGGGTCACTTTTACCTTAGCAAGTCACATAGCCAAACACAAAGTCAAGGAGTAGGGTAATATCTCTGTCACTTTAATGGAAGGAACTGCATAGGGTCATGGCGTGAATATAAGGGAAAGTAAAGCACTAGGGTCAATGCAATTGATAGTGGTGATGGTTGCACAACTTGGGAATAAATTAAAAACCAGTGAACTGTACACTTTTAAATGGTGAATTTTATGGCATGTGAATTATATCTTCAATAATAAAAATCATATAGAAGAACAAAAAACTAACACAAAATATAAAAAATACAATCCACCAGTCATTGTATGGATGTCGTACATACTATTTTTGTTATACATGTCTGAATGAGATGAATTATCCTGGACTGTTATCAGCAGATTCAGGGTGTAGGGAGGGGATGGCAGTTGTCATGTTTCTTTAGGGTTCCCCCTGTTCCTAAATCAGAGGATTGCTGTTTTATAATATAGTGCCTTGTTCTTGTTCCTTGTCTAATCTCCAAATGTAATCTGGTTCAGGAGGGCCTTTACTGCCAGCTCTGCTTACCTCTTAGAGACACAACCCTAGATTTCCAAGGTTATGCACTCATTTCTGGGAGTATTTTATTAGCACTAAGATCTCTGCCTCCCCCATGCCCCACCCAGGCACTTTCTCATTCTACTTTCTCCTTCCTTGATGGATACCATATGGCTCCTCAGTCTTAGTCAGGAATACAAGACTTCTCTCTTTGGACAGGGCTGATTCTGGATATGAGTAAGTTGCTGGAGATACCTGAAATATGCTTCCTCTGCGCAACTTTATCTTCGTCACAGAACTGCTGGAACTTCCCACTGGGGATTCCTAACAGCACTTGCATACAATTTGAAGTTAAGAAGGTTTCCTTTTTCCCTAAATTTGTTAAAATGCAGTTTGAGAGCCAGCCCCTAGTTCTCTGCTCCCATTTTTCTTTTCAGAAGTAGGAAGATTAAGAATGAATCTGGTCTTGTTCCTTTTGGAACTATACATTTGGTACAATGAGGTTTTGTTCTATTTTTGGTTTGTTTCTGTTTTACTGATCAGGGCACTTAATAGGCCCTTTCAACCTAGAAACTCACCTCCTTCGGTTCTGGGACACAGTTTCCTTCCACTGTATTAGATGAAGAACCTTCTTGGCTAGTCCTCTCGTTTTCTTACCATTTCACTCTTATTTTCTAATTCTTGTTGCTCTTCTGGTTTTTGGGGGAGAATTCTTCAGCTTTATTATCTAAACCTTGTATTAAATTTTTAAAAAATGTATTCTGTTGCAGCAATTTTTAAAATAATTTCTCTTTTTAAAACAGAACCTTTTTCATCTTTCACAGATGGAATATCTTCTCTTTAAAGATACTAGTTTTATTTGTTGAAGTTTCTTCTATTCCCTAAAGTAAATCTATTTATACTCAGCTCCTTTTATTTCCTACTTGGTCTCTTTTTCATTAGAGACTTTCATCCCATGGCAGGTGACCCTTGGCTGTACATTTATGCTCAAATGTGAGGCATTTAAAAGCTGACTAGGGCCAGGCACCAGTGGCTCACGCCTGTAATCCTAGTACTTTGGGAGGCCAAGGTGGGAGGATCACTTATGCTCAGGGGTTCAAGACCAGCCTGGCAACATAATGAGACCCCATCTCTACAAAAAATAAAAATATTAGCTGGACGTGGTGGCATATGCCCGTAGTCCTGGCTACACATGAGGCTGAGGTGGGAGGATGGCTTGAGCCCAGGAGTTCCAGGCTATAGTGAGTTATGATGGCGCTACTGCACTTCAGTCTGGGTGACAGAGTGAGGCCCTGTCTCAAAAAATAAAAGTTGAATAGAAGCTGTGGTACATGAACAATGCTTCCTGACCAGCAGCTCTACTCTTCGGGTGATCTGATGGATCCAACTGTTCAATCAGGTGAATTCCCGTAGTTCATATCTGTTCAATACTTTGCCATGGGCTGGTAAGTTTCCCCAGCTAAGAATCCGTTAATATGTTGTTGAGAGACACGTAAGCCTGACAGTTTGGAAGCCAATCAAAAAAAGACAACTGCTCTAGGTTCAGCATGTTGACCTGACTTTCACTCAATCTTCATTTTCATTTAGGTGCTTCACCCCCACCTCAGCCATCTGGAGCCTCCCAGTTAATGTCTCCTGAGTATAAACTTTCAGTCTTCTGTCAAGGTAGAGGAGAGAGTAGTTGTCTGGGTGTATGGGAGTGGAGAAGGGGTTTCAGGGTGTCAAAATGATAAAGACCATCAACCAACCCTTCTACTCCCACCCTGTCCTGTAATTCTTGACTTCAGAAATACTGTACTTGATACCCCCTATTCCTAAAACTTTTCCAGATTCTGTGGAAAGAATCTGCTTGCTCCTTGTTGGCTTACCTCTCTTCAGCTTTCAGCATTCTCTAATTCATGAAATCATTTATTACTTGCCCATCTCCTTTCTAGTTTTCCAAATATTGATTTCAGCTGTATCTTACTCTCACCTCCTCTTGATCTTTGTGGATTTATAGCCTTATTCTTTTACTATAATCCTACAGAGACTCCCAAAGAGTGTATACAATTGAATATGTTAGACTAAAAGTGTCTACTTAACCTGTCTTAATTTCTACAGTTAAAAAACGATGCAGCTACGTCCTACAATGGTAGCTACTATTGCCATTATTTTATATTTTAATTTGTGTAATTACGAAGACCTCATTTTACTAATGTACCCACCACAGCCCTAATTACATACCAAATCAATACATATTAATAATTAGCTGTTAGTGTATATGTATGTACTCAATAGTCATTTACTCAAATGCATAAAAAGCACAATCTAAAGATCTTCAATGATATTCTCTCAAAGCATCCTGTCCTTTGCTTGCATGATTTATAATTACATATGTGTAGTTTCTTCATTAATGTCATTTTCCTTCATAAGCCAAGCAATATCATGGCAGGAACCATATCTGTTTTGTTTACTACTGATTACTCAGCATCCAGTCCAATTCCTAGCACATAGTGAGTGTTTAGTAAATATGAATTTGGTAACTGAAGAATAAATAATACTTGGCAATTTAATCTGTTCCAAAACTCAGAAAAAGAAATAAAACTTCTCAACTATTTTTACAAAGCAAGCAGATGTGAATATCAAAACTAGACAAAACATTGAAAAACAACTACAGACCAATCTCTTATGAATATTGACAAAAAAATCCTAAATATATGCATTGGCAAAGTAAATGCATCAGGACATTAAAATAATAACAGATCAATCAGGGCTCATTCTAAGATGCAAAATGGTTCAATAAATAGTAAATCCATAAATTTAACCATACTAATAGGTCAAAGTGAAAAACCATAAAGGGGCGGCTGGGGTTTGGGATGGGGTAGGAGAGCCACATGTCAGACTGTCAAAAGGAAGTTATTACATAACGTTCACCAGATGCCTTGTAACATGCAAATTTTTTGTTGCTGCACAGTATTTCTTCATTTATACATGCTATTTTTTACCATACTTAATCCAAAAACAAATTAAGATGCCCCCAAAGGAAACTAGTAACAGTGAAAAATGTCCTACCATAAATTATTCAGGAGAAAGAAAAACATGTTCCAAAAGAAATATATGTGTAATATACCACGTCTTAAAGAATATAAACCACAATTTAAACAATGGTCATCTTCTGCACACCTATCAATATCTGGTATTTTTTCTTGTTTATTTGATTGTCCTCCAACCACTAGATAAGTTTCATGAATACAGGGGCCTTGTTCTTTTCAATGCTGTACTGCCAGTGCTTAGAACAGTGCCTGTTATACAGTAGAGTTTCAATAAATTTTACTTAACAAATTAATCAATTAGTTTTCCAGATCATTTTATTTCTAATTAAAGCCCCTCAGTACCCTCTCACTGCCCTCAGAACACAAAACACACCCTTCTGGCAATGGACAAGTAAAATTTGGTCCCTGCCAATTTCCCACACCTCATCTTGCTCTACTTTCTCCTGACTGCTGAGTGCCAGCTACATGGATCTTTCTTTTTACAGCTTTTTCCTCTTTTAAGGCCTTTTGCATGCTGTTATTTCTGATCAGATTTCTTTTTTTTTCTCCCCATTCCTCCCATGGTTGAGCTTCTCTTCCTTAGTGACATCTATTTAAGTCATCCACTCAGATAAACCTCCGATCACCCCGCTGAAAGTAGGTGTTTTCTTTAAAGCATTAGAACATGGAATAAATTTACTTTTTGGAAGGTTGGGAGAGGTCTATTTTACCCACCAGAATGTAAGGTTTATAGAGGCAGGCATTGTCTTGTTCACCAAAGTCCCCAGTGTCCAACAGAGCTCCTAGCACCACAGTAGATAATCAAACATTCTGTGAAGTTATCTTTGGGTGGGACAAGTACAGGTAGTTTTTGTTTACTTTTTACAGCTTTATATATTATCTGAAATTTTAAATAAACATAATCTGGGTGAAATAAAGCTATTTCTACTTTGGAAAAAAGATCTCCTACAGTCCTAAGTAGCAGCCAGTTACAACTGTGGTTTTGTGGGGTTTTTTCCCCCCCAGAAATGAGGTTGTCAAGGTTGGTCTTGAACTCCTGAAGTTACAGGTTTTTTTTTTTTTTTTTTCAAATGAAGAAAATGTAGGGAAAACCAATAGCATTTCTCAGAAGTCAAAACAGAGACCCAGAAAACAAAGTGACCCTATTAAAACCCAGAAAATACAATTTGAGAAATGTACGATTTTCACAGAAACTTAAACATTCATTAAAAAACTTTTTGGCCACGTACAAGATTAAATCAAGATAATAACGCAGTAATAACCTGCAAATACTTGAAGCGCAAAGTCCATGTGCAATCCCTCTTCCACATTTCAAGAGACGACCTTAGTAAGGTTGACATAGGCACACACACAAACTAGCACCACCTCTCTGGTGGTTCTGCAAGGGCTCCGCTACTACCACCCACAACCTACTCACAATCAGGAGCGAAGCAAGCCTTCAGGTACCATACAAAAGTGTCTTTCATCACCTGGGCTCTGCTGCGGGGCCTCACTGACCGTGCCAAAGCTTCTCTCCCCACACCCTCACCAGAAGGTAAAACGCTCCTAGACAGAATCAGCCCCTTTTGTCGGGTCTCCTTCGCACTCAGTGCTGCAGTTAAGAGCCACTTCCGTGGGTGAGCCCGCCCCAAGCAGAGCGGGGGGTCAGAGCTTCCCACAACAGCATGGGGGAGACCTGGGCCCCTCCCCGACTCACCTCATGGTGTGTGGGGGAGGGGGCTGTGTCTCTGCTCTGCCGGCAGCCCCTCCGGCCCCCTCCCGCCAGCCAAGGCCAGTGCGCCAGGGCGGGGAACTCGGCGCAGGTCGTGCAGAGCGTGTAGGGCGCGGGGCCCGCAGCGCCTTTTGAAAGTCAACAAGGGTGACGCCAGCTCCGCGAGCGGAGCCCAGGGTCATGGCCCTGACTCGGCGCCCACGGACCCCACAGAACGAGGGGATCCCTGCAAACCCCGCTGAGCCCGCACAGCCAACAGGGATGGGAGATCCCCGCACACTCCGTAGACCCAACGGAGCTTGCAGGGGGTGGGAACTCCACACATCAGGGAACCCTACAAAACCCGCAGGATCCCGGGGCCCGCAGACCTGGGCAGACCTGGGTGGGCTCAGCCGTCAGAACGTAGCACAGGACACCAAGCCAACTCCCCCCGAGTTCTTGGACGTCACACAGTAACCCCACTAGGAGGATGATCTTAGTGTTATTTTACAAAACTCACTCCAAGCTCCAATTTCCTTAAGTGTCCTGCCCGCAAGCCCCCAGTAAGGATATCTATCAATCTCAGGTCTAATCTAAAATCCACGTTCTTTTCACTACAGTGATCTCAAGTTATTATAACTCTTCATCCCACCGTCATTTATGCAGCCTCACCGGCTACAGTTTGATGCAGCTTTTTAAATTTACTATGTAGATAATTTTAAAAAAGTATACATGTAACAAAAGTCATACTGAATATGGCCTTTTTTTTTTTTTTTTTTGAGACAGAGTGCAGTGGCAGAATCTTGGCTTACTGCAATCTCTGCCTGCTGGGTTCAAGCGATTCCCCTGCCTCAGCCTCCTGAGGAGCTGGGATTACAGGCATGGGCCACCACGCCTAGCTAATTTTTGTATTTTTAGTAGAGAAGGCATTTCACCATGTTAACCTGGCTGGTTTCAAACTCCTGACCTCAACTGATCTGCCCGCCTCTGCCTCCCATATGGCTTTTTAATACTTAACATATCTGCAGGAAAGCTGATACCAATGCCTGGGGCAGGGATGAGGTCCTTTCCCAATAAGCCATGCAGCCTAACAAAATTCACCAAAAATTAAATCAAATGGAGGTGCAGAGGGAAGATGAAGTATTTGGCCTGACCCCAGGACGTCTTTACTCATTATGTTTTAACTAAGCAGCCTAATACCCACATGCATTTCCCAGAAGAAAGCCTAATTAGTAGATATTATTAATCATTACCATTAGTGTGTTATGTAGTATATAGGATAATTTGAACTTATAAAGCAAGTTAAATTTATAAAGAATTATGTAGATTAACAGCTATTCAAAATACAAAATTCACTAAGGTATTTAGTATATCCAGTAGAAGAGAAATTACCTTTTTTAAAAACTTTTTTTTGGGATTACACCCCATGAGTAAAGGGTATTACGCCTATGTACTATGACTTTTTCATTTAGCTGTGACTTATTTTTTTGATTTAATATTCAATTTTTAAGATTGTTTTAACATTCTCAAAATCCAGTTTACTTTACCATAAAAAGTATTTTTGGTAATCAAGCTGATGCTCATAAACACCAAAATTTTTTTCCTGCTACATTATGTAAAAACAACAACAAATTCTTTAGAGACCATACTTTCTATATTCAAGATCATATAACTTTTTTTTTTTTTTTTGAGACAGAGTCTCACTCTGTCGTCAGGCTATAGTGCAGTGGCGCGACCTCAGCTCATTGCAATCTCTGCCTCCCAGGTTCAAGCAATTCCCTTGCCTCAGCCTCCCGAGAAGCTGGGACTACAGGCATGTACCACCATGCCAGGCTAATTTTTTGTATTTCAGTAGTGACGGGGTTTTACCATATTGGCCAGGATGGTCTCGATCTCCTGACCTCGTGATCCATCCACCTCAACCTCCCAAAGTGCTGGGATTACAGGCGTGAGCCACCACACCCAACCTCAAGACCATATAATTTTCATTAGAATTATTTCAAAGCTTATATGGTGACTTTTTAAGACATCTATATACAGCAATGACCATTGTTCTGGCTCCTCATGAACTGGGTTTATGAGTTTGTGCTTTAGCATTAAACCGTCTTTCACCTGTATAAAATGGTTGCATCATATTCATTAATATACTTATTGTAATGATACATACTGCTAAGTAGTTTTGTCCCTCTTACAAGAAAATCCTGAGAATAAATTTCTCTCAGAAACAATTATATTTCAAGACCCACTTTTGGGTACTCTTGATTATTAAATATGACAAAAGAGAAAGTGACATCTGATTAATGCCAGAACAAAGATAATTATATATGGCCACGACCTCTACATGTAGCCCACACAAAATGTCCTGGGCACCGATAAATAGGGGATATGCACAAGGGTGAAATAGGTGCCTCAACTGGACAAACCTCAGGCATTGGGGTCTTAAATATTCTTTCTCCTAATGAGGGAGCAGGTGTACATGAAAGGTTCTAACCAGGGTCTCTTTCACCATGCCAAGGAGGGTAGTGAATCTTTATACAAAATATTAGCAAGGGATTTAGTTCTCCAATTAAATGTAATTAAAATCTTACTAGGAGAAAACAGTACACTCCAGATACATTTCTTATGATAATAACAGTAATTTTAAAAAGCAAATTTAAAAAGTCAACTAAGTCAATCAATAAAAGCAAAAGCTATCTGAAGAGCAGTAATAGGTAATCTTTTAGCAAATATAAACAAGAAAAAAGGAAAAAATTAAATATTGAAAACAAAGATGATATAACCACAAATACAAGGAAGATATTTCTAAAATTATAAATCACCATGTATAATTTATATCAATAAATCCAAAAACCACAAAAATATAATTTACCAACATTGGTCTAAATGGAAGAAACATTTAAATAAACCAGTAATGACGAAGAAAATGAAAAGAGTAGTCAAAAACTCTACCCCCTCTTCCAAAAGACCAGTTCCAGAGATTCACTGTTTTACTTTTAACTTATCAAAAATCCACAATTATCAAAAATTACCAAAAATCCACAAGTTTGGCAATGTATGTCTGTTGGGGAAGCTGTGGGAAACAAAGTGAAAGAAGAGTAAAAGACCAGAAGAGACTATTTACTATGTAGATAATAAAAAAATGTATTTATACATCAAGATAAATAAAACATAGATGGAAATTCACATTTAATAAATTATGAATAAACACATTTAAAAACACCTCCAATTTACAGATTTATGACAATCTCAAGCAAGATATATACATGTTTGTTTTTTTGAGATGGGTCTTGCTCTGTCGCCCAGGCTGGAGTGCAGTGGTGTGATCTCTGCTCACTGCAACCTCTGCCTCCTCGGTTCAAGCAATTCTTCTGCCTCAGTCTCCCGAGTCGCTAAGACTACAGGCGCACACCCCCATGCCCAGATAATTTTTGTATTTTTACTAGAGACAGAGTTTCACCATATTGGCCAGGCTGGTCTCGACCTCTTGACCTCGTGATCCGCCTGCCTCGGCCTCCCAAAGTTCTGGGATTACAGGCGTGAGCCACGGCGCCTGGCCGATACATACATGTTAACAGCAAAACAGCAAAAAGCTAAAGACCAAAACAAACAACAAAAGAACCCCCAAGGCAGTCAGAACAAAATGAATTGATAAGACAGATAGGTGACTTTTCAAGAGCAATAATGAAAGCCAAAAGACAGAAGAATAAGAGCTTCATCATGCTGAAAGAAAACAATTGCCAACTTTTGTATTCAGCAAAAACATCGTTCAAGAATGGCTGCAAAATAAAGACATTTTCAGGTGAACAAAAACTGAGTGTTCATCATCAATAGATCTTCAATAAAAGCCATTCCAAAGGTTGTACTTTTTAAAGGAGACAGGGTCTTGCTCTGTCACCCAGGATGGAGTGCAGTGGCACGATCATGGCTCACTGCAGTATCAACCTCCTGGGCTCAAGCAATCCTCCCACCTCAGCCTCCCAAGTAGCTGGGACCACAGGTGTGTGCTACCACACTCAGCTAATTTTTTTTGTTTTTTGTTTTTTGTTTTGTTTTTTTGTAAAGATGGGGTCCCATCATGTTGCCCAGGCTGGTCTCAAACCTGGCTCAAGCAATCCTCCCAGCTCGACTTCCCAAAGTGCTAGGATCACAGGCATGAGCCCACACACCCAACCAATTTTTTGAAATTATATAATGAAATGTGTCATCATGTGAAAGAGCTGCATAATTCAGTGAACCAATATTTTCCAAGTGACCCATGTACAGGTAAAAGAGCCCTTGAAAGTGCAAGGCAGGCCACTGGATTTTAATGTTAGAGCATGAGAAGTTCATTCATATGATTTCCAATTCTACACTGCAGCTAACGTTTAACAAATTGTTAGGGGCTGGATGTTATAGTCCCAGTGCTTTGGGAGGCTGAGGCAGGACTGCTACAGGCCAGCAGTTCAAGACTAGCTTGGGCAACATAGCAAGACTCTGTCTCTACAAAAAAAAAAAAAAAAAAATTAAAAATTAGCTGGGCCTGGTAGTGTGTGCCTGTAGTCCTAGTTACTCAGGAGGCTGAGGCAGGATTGTCGGAGCCCAGGAATTGGAGGCTGTAGTGAGCTACGATCTCATCACTGCACTCTAGCCTGGACAACAGAGCAAGACACTGTCCTAAAAAACAAAACAGAAACAAAAACACAAAACTGTTAGGTTTTGATAAGTATCAAAAAGAACATAATCATCTGAAAAGATTAAAATATTTGTCTCTTTTCTAACTACTCAGCTGAATGAAGCTGGATTTTCTTCATGTACTTCAACTAAAATAATACATGGCAACACAATGAATACAAAAGCAGATGAGACTCTAGTCATTAAAGGCGACATTCAGCATATTTGCAAAAATGTACAAAAATTCCATTCTTATCACTAATTTTGGGGGGATAAAATATGTTAAGATGTAATGGGTTATTATATTTAAAGGTATCAATAAATAA